ACTGAGCGGAGGAGCAGCCGAAGGAGATGCTGAAGCACTGACTCGAAATTTGAGAGGTGGAAGTTTGGGCTTGTTGGAATCTTCCTCTTTTTGCTTGCAGTCTCGGCAGACAAAGTGAAAGTCTTCCTTTTCGGCCGCTTCCTGTGAGATACCAAGACACTTGCTATGCTGCCAAACATTGCATTTTTCGCAGGCAACACTGTGACTTCCGTCATCCTGGGACAATGTTAGATTAGGGCTGCCACATGCTCGGAAACTGGAACTCACCAAATTCTCACCATGCACTCCGCAGCCAGAGCAATCAAATACCCACTGGTCATCTTGGGCAAGCCCTGCTAGATTCTTCTGGGACTTCTCTAGATCAGCCTGGAGGTTGCGCGCAGACACCCTGCTTTCACCCCTTTCGATTCTTTCTTGTTCTTCCGCGATGCGTTCAAGCTCCGCCTCATGCAGCAGTCGCTTCTGTTCACGATCTCTGATGCGCTGCTCTCGAGTCATTGTACGCGACTGTCGATCTTCCTCAAGCTGATGTTGTTTCGCCTGCTGCTTACGAGCCTCGGCCAGGTCGCTCTCACGCTTTTGGGCAGCTTCAGCAGCATCTCGTTCCTGTCGTTCCTTTTCTTCCTTGGCGGCAAGTCGGCTGGACCTCTTAGCACCTGAAACTAGCTGCAAGTTCATAAGCTCCTTTTCACGCTTCTGGCGCTTGCGCTGCTGCGCTTCCTCCGCCTTTTCGAGGATGGGCAGGACATGCTCGACAATGCTATCGCGTAGGTATTTCTCATCCGCATCCTTGGTTTTTTGGAGTGTGTCTAGGAAAGCCTGGTATTCCTCGAGTGTGACAGCCACACACTCCCACTTGAAAGGGTCTTCAGCAAAGGCCGCGACGGCATCTGCATCGTTGGTATCCTTCCTCTCCTCGTCGGAACCCTCTTCCGCAGCTGCCGTAGAGGTACGCTTTGACGTTCTCGATACTCGGGAAGACCGGCTCTTTGCCTTCTTCTTAGGACGCTGGGGAGGGGGAGGTAAGGGAAGGTCGGTGCGACGGTAAAGACGGTTGTCATCTAGCACATAGTATGAACGCCCCTCGTGGTCCCAGCCAAACTCTTCGATACGCTGGCGAAGGTCAGTATGCGATGGTCAAGAGTTAAGGTTATACGAAAGCTCGCTTACCCATTCTGTCTGCTCAGTTTCCTTCTTTTCGGGCATCTTGTCGCGAATGCGGTCCGGGTTCCAGAATGTCCATACCGTCAGCTGGTGGAGGACATGTATCTTGGTGAAAACATCGAAATGCAAGAACTTGTTTGGTTCTTCCTCGTAGCCGAAGGGATTGGTGGTATTGGGCGCTTTCGCATTGTACTGGCGCCGGGTATACTCATCGAAATTGTCGAAGCTGCCAACAAAGTAATGTTAGTGAAATCGCTTGGGACAGCAAGAAATCTATTCCTGTATACATACGTAAGACCGCGATGCGACGAAATCCATTTGAGGAGACACAATCCAATCTCTAGTAATTTATGAGAGGGCTCGGGTTTGAGGCATTCGACTTCTAGGTCCTAGCGTGGGGCAAAAGCTATCAGCCGTAATTCAACCAACTGAGATACGCTTGTATATCTTCTCATCAATGCGACACGAAGCGCATCATTGATCTCATCTCAGGCGATGTTAATGGACATACCTCAATCCCAAACTCCTCGTCAATCTTCATGACCTGGCCAAAGATGGCAATGTATTGCATGAGGCTTGCAAATGCCCAGTTGCTCCTGAGCTGCGAGAGCAAACCAGGTTCTTCTGGTGCTTGTTGCTCGGCCACCGAGACGGCCTCGGAGTGGGTGCGCTTTCGCGATCCCATCGCGGCGGGACAACCGTTTAGGGCCGGTTTTCTCGGAGGTGTCCAACGAGGGGGTTCACTGGAATTGAATCTGGGCGGAGATGAAAGCCAGAGGAGAGTCCAACTTTCATATGAAAAATGTAAGCGTAAAAACCGAAAAAGGGCCTAAGAAATATGAAGGTTGAGTCTGGGCTTTTTTTCGTGTCGTGAGGCAAGACGATCAGTAAGGCGGCGCGTCAAGGACGGCATCACGTGATTCGATGCGTTTGTCGAAACTAGCAAGGGGAGAAGTTAAGAATTTCAAGCAAATTTTGTCTTGTCGATCATATGATTGATCTTAATTCGGAAGAAAATTATACAATGAGATTATGCGAACAATGGAAGATCGAATATTCATGAATCGGAGACAAGTACATTCATGCTTTTGAGAACAGTCGCATATACACAAGAGAAAAAGAGAAAAATCAAAACAAAGCAGACGCCTGGATCTTTGGATATCTCTCGCTCAAAGGTCTATCTCACACAGAGCAGTTGGGGGTCGTCAAAGACGAGGAGAAAAATGCACACAGACGACAGCGCCAACCAGAATTCGCGCCACGACAGAAGAGTTCCGTCGAAAATGAAAATCAATGAAAAGAGAAGAAGCATATTTCCCAGAAGCAAAATGCAAAACAAAGATAGAAAGAAAGAAAGAAAAAGAAAAAGGAAGAAAGGCACAAGAATACATTAAACCTCCCCCCAACGCAGATCACCGAACCCTCAAGAAACCCAATATAAATGCGGTAAAGAGAGAAACAACCCGGAATGAAGAAAAAGCAGATTTGGATCCGATGCCCTCAATCGATGACATATCTCACGCGCTGGATCCATCCAGTTCTTCAATCACAATTTTGCGCCTTGTGTCCGTTAATCGCCAGAAGCCTTTCCCATGCATATCATAAGGTAAAATATTTCGGGAGAAAGAAACAGATGTTTTTTGTATGTTACATGGCTGCCGGGGCTCCATCCGAGACGGTGTCGGACAAGTTGATAAGAAGTTGAGCCAGGCAGCGTTTGGTGGCTGCGTCGTCACGGAGGACGGAGGAGAACGTGGCGTCCCGGAGCGGTTCGGGGAGACATTGTCGCAAGGCCTCTCGAGCCCGGCTGTTGTCACTGAGGCTGTATCTTACTGTTAGAGATGCCCACGAAGAGGGATATTGCACGAGGGCTTACCGAAGAAAGCAGCGCACAACATGCTTGAGAAGGCGGACGGTCTGTTGCTCCACCAACTGAGTGACCATGTTGCTCAGGACAGTGCCCACGGCATAGAATCTTTCATATGTCGCGCAAATGTAACCCAAACCAATATCATCGAGAAGAATTTTCTGTACGATAAAGATAGCAACAGTTTTGCTCAGTTCCGATCCCGTCTCCATAATGCGAAGGCAGAGAGGGATGATCTCTGTAGTTAGAAGGAAGTTGATCACGTCAGAGGAGTCATTCTTCACCAATGCGCCAATGACGCCCAGCGATGTGAGTCGGAGGTATTCGAAGGGACGAGACTTGGAGGTGGTGTTGAGGAAGGGATAGAGGAAAAGAGGGATGTGAGCTGAACGACGAGCGGAAATTAGCAATCGATTTTGCATGGGGTCATGGTAAATAGATTACTCACCGTTCAAGAAAAGAGTGCGGGTCTCATTGTGGGACGCGACGCATTGCAAAAGCGCCAGCGCATTGCAGACTCGATTTGACGCGGCGGCAGTCAACTGAGAAGGGTTCAAGAGCGGATATACCGAGATGATTTCTTGAAGAAGTGCAGTCATGACACCTGCAAGTTTCCGACCGTTAGTTTAGTGTAGACAGGGCTGGGCGCACGTTGGGAATGGAGCCATACCAAAAGAGTGCCAGATAACCAGAGCCAGTTCGGGGACCTGTTCCCGCTTCTTGCTTAGTTCCATCAAAGCAGATTCCCTGCGAGCTGGATCCAATAGCTCGGCGACCCAAATGAAGACCTTGCGATTCTCCTCACTAATTCCACCATCCATGGCGGAGACTGCATTCGACATACCATCTCCACCCATGCCGCCGGCGCCACCGGCTCCCTGCGCAGGGTTTCCAGCACCGTTGCCGCTCATGGCAATGCGGCCATAGTGTTGTTGCTGTGCTGCGGCGGCAGCAGCTTGAACCTGGGCATGCTGTTGGGCGACCAGGGAAGCGTGCTGCTGCTGCGATTGGTGTGGGTGCGGCTGAGCCTGGTGGTGCTGTTGCTGTTGCTGTTGTTGATGCTGCATCCACGAGGGATCAGCCTGGGGGTATTGATGTTGGTGGGAAAAGACGTGTTGGGTCTGCGCTTGAAGCATGGTGGGTGATGAGTCGTTTCGGAGACTCGTAATACTCCGAAGGATCGGAACTCAGGCGAAGCGACGGCAAAATGGGGGGCTGGGATAAAGTTGAGATAGGGTTAATAACGTCAGGAGTTTAATCCCGAGACTGAAATCATTGATGACTGAAGACAAGTTGCAAGGATAGTGGTAGAATGAGTAGAATGGGTCAAACAGGTAGAACAGAGGAGTGTGGAGGAGGGAAAAGGCGGAAGTGAAGGCGGGGAGGTAAAGTGCCTCCCCTAACTTTTGTGTGGTCTTTTTTGGCCTTGGGCATGTCTCTCTTTACTGTCTTGTACTATATTCCATAATAATTTTCTCTTCTGTCTCTGCTACTCTTTTCTCTTTTCTCTCATTTAACTAGGAATTATTGAATTTGCGTACCTTGTGTCAAACCTGCATGGCATCCGAACAGAGCACATTGTTTCCTGCAAGTTGTTTGCTTTCTGCAGCCGTTTTGCAATTTCCATGCGCCAGTCACTCACAGTTATTTCATGTCGGTGTCCGTGGGCCAGCAATTATACCATGTCAATCCTTATTAGACAGTAATACACAAGTCCAAGAATTATATCGTGTCGAGTTTGTGCTCATAACTTCATATGTACATCGTAGTGTGCCATAAATCTCTCATATCGACATAAAAAAAAGGGCAATATCGTCAATCCTAAATCAAAACCAAAAAAAAAATAATCATCGTGCAAATCGTAGTCGTACATTAGTCACGTTATAAATCCAGCGCCATAAATGCATAATCAAACTAAGGTTGTCGAACTGAAAACCCGCACTGGCAGAGGAAGTGAGTCTCCCTCGCGTCAGATATTATGGACGGTCAGAGCGGGTGCGCGATCGTCGTGACCGTCGCGTATCTCTAGTTCGTCTGTCAGAACTTCGGCTGCCTGTAAAAGAAGAAAAGTCAGTAGAGGTCTTTCGCTTGTGAAGGTATATGGGGGGCAAACGTACTCCCTGTGCCCGAGTAATAGTCAGAATAGTAGTAGTATGAACTTGGGTAGGAGGACTCGGTCTTGTCGTCATCGTGCTCTCTATCTCTCTTCCTCTTCAATCCCAAACACAGAGCAAGAGCACCGATGATAATAGCAATTGTACCGAAGCCCCATTTGGACTCTTTCTTCTCGCTAACCTCGCTGCCTCCCGCGGCTGGTTTGGTGCCGAACCAAGTTCGGCCTGGAGGAGGAGGGGGCCGACTGCCATGCGAATGGTGAGAATGGCGCTCTTCAATATAGGTTGTATCCTGTCTACGGCGCTTCTTGCCAATGCCGAGTGCTGCAAGCAGGCCTTCCAAGATACCCTTGAAGCAGATGCAGGCGCAGAGGAGTAGCAATAAGAATACACCGACGATACTGCCGATGACGATTCCTGCGATGGCGCCACCACTGAGTCCGCTGCTGCTTGTGGCTTTGACGCCGATCAAATCTGCCCCGTCCGTTCCGACCGGCGCTGTGAATCCCTCCGTGGTGGTTGGAGTTGAGGTTGCTGTTACGGTGCTTGCCCCATTGCTCGTCACTCGCACGCCCGGCGTGGCTTCTGATCCTGATTCTGTTCCTGTCGCAGTCGCAACAAATGAAGAGCTCTCAGCAACACATTGGCCCGCGTCACCAGCGGCATTCAAGGCGCATTCTTGGGTAGCATCGCAACAAGTCGAGCCACACTTTGTCTCGCCGAGGTCGAATCTGCAGCTGCCCGTGCCTGTAGCTGCGGCAATCTGGCTGCTCCAAACAGAGGTAATAGTTGATACGTCGGTGTTGGTGAGCACGTAGGTGGTTGTGTAATATTCCCAGTCTCCACTGCTGTCACTGCCACTACCATCTGAACAGACGGCCTCTTTGGCACTGTTGGTACTGCACGTCTGACCGGTCTCGCAGCAAAGCCAGTCGTTGTAGCCGCAAGGGTTCGCACAGCGTTTCTCAAGTCTGTGCTCTTCGGTGACGTTTGCTGGCAATGCGAGCGGGGTTGCAGCTGTGTGGAGCGAGTAGTTGAGAAGTAGGGCAAGTGTCGAGAGCACCGGCAGGACGGATAAAGACCGCATCGCAGAGAAACAGTGAGGCAACCTTTGCCGAGATTCAATGGTAAAATCACTCGAGTGGGAGAGCGTAATAATTTGGACTGGATGTTTCTCAGTAGTCTCACCGTATACTCGAGCGATCTTTGTAGATCACCAGTAAACAAAGATCTCAAATATTTGAGACGTCAAGAGATCGGAATGTAGACAAAGAATGAAAAAGAATGAGAGAAGTCAAGAGAGGAGAGTGCTCCAGTTTGTTAGCTACACAGCGTCTCCCAGCCTCTCTCCGTATACCCAACCACCCGATTTCCTACCAATCGCCTAATCCACCAAGGTTTTCCATTTATTTTCATGGTGGCTGGGGTTTCATATTTTATTTGATTATGATTAGTCCAACACCATTTTTTTCACCTCGAATAACAAGCCCTGAGTTGGCTCCCCTGCGTCCTGTCAGAAGCGATCAACGATTGAATGCAGGTTTCTCCACCCGCATGGCAGCAATCAGCGTGGTGACCAACACCGCCATCTTAAAATTATTATGCCTCGGGTAAAAATAGGCTCGCCTTCTCTGACTCGAAAAAAGGAACACAATCCAATTGTGCATACAACGTACGGAATGCGTTGGGCAGCCATGAATCCCATAAATCGCAAGTCATGTTCGGGGATATTCCGTGCCACTAATGGCAGCCCAACGACGAATTGCCCAATCCTTCAAAAGCCCTAGAGATCCGATCAAATCTGCAGTCAAAGTACTGGAGGGCTGCTGGATCGACATCCTACTTACTCCGTACAGATGCTCAGATCTCCAAGGGACATCCCTAAAGTGTCTCTACATCGTATGCTGATGGATTTGCTTGCCTGAAAGAGATCGAAGACGATGGTCTCTGCATTGACGCGATAATCAAAGCCTTCAAGTGATTCATTCTAATGGAACTCGGCGACTCCGCAATGCTTGGTTAGAAGATTCTCACTCTGTCATGCCACTAACTACTAGGCATATCGCTCTTTTTCTTAGTATGAAAATATTTCTAACGACTGATAGTGGTGTATGCTGCGAGCCCATTTATTGACCACATGGTCGCTTGTACGATGGCTCAAACCTAGAGATAGTGTCACCAACATATTCGATCCCATCGGAGGTGCAACTTTTGTCCGCTGTTGCCCCCGAAGCCAGTGTCTCGTCATTAAACAGCTGGTTATGTTAGGTCACCCATGGATTACGAGACTCTTTGCATCGCCAAAACTGGCCACATTCAAAACTAGCTTCGGACTATCCATGATCTTGCTCCCCACCGTGTTATCACTCTTGGCCCTACTTCTGAGTATACTGCCAAAGCCTTGAGGTATTCTTAGCCCGGGCATGGGTTGGATCGGATTCTGAAATGGGCCACATGACGCAGCTGGTATGTAGACTGGATATAACAAACTAGGCAAGCCTCGCAATATTCTGAGAACCCAAAGACCAAGAATCTCAACACTGGCTCATTATCTGATCAAGAAGGGAGTTCACGTAGGAGACCCTATTCCTCTGATGTTGGAGAAGTCCATTGATACCATTATCGCAATCCTTGGTGTCATGAAAGCTGGCGCCGCCTATGTGCCTCTGAGCCCGGACAACCCGGTGGACCGCAACTCATTCATCATCGACGATGTGAAGGCACGAACGATCCTGACCAAAGCCAATTATGCCGCTGTGTTATCCCTGATCCCCAATCTGAATATCGCTCGGGCCGATGCGCCAGAGATCGATCAGTTCCCTGCTTCCTCTCCCATGGCCCACACCGTTCCTGACAGCACTGCTGCTAGAGGTGCCGTGCAACAAAGGACTCCGAGCAAGACCAAATATGATGGAGAGACTCCCGGTACAAGTAGCGATTGTGGCAGGACTAAAGGCGGACATACAACGCGTCAGACCACCATACGATGATAAAGACTCGATCATCTTTCAAAAATGTGTCGAGTGCCTGTGCTAATAAAGTGTTTTTCTGTGCCTACTAGTCAGTCGGTCATAGAGTGAACGACAATACGTAGTCTGGCCATTGAACACAGTTCATATCAAATTGTAACCATCAGATCTATGCTCCGTCACTAACCTGGAATGGACTCTCATTGATCACATCATCGAGACTGTTGGCTAATTCGCTAGCCTCAAATCGCTAACCAACAACCCGCAAATGTGTTTCAATATGACCCAGTGAAACAGAAGCAGATCAGTCTAAGAGACTGTTCTCTTGCTCTTCATCATCGAACCCAGGTGTAAAAATTTAATCAGATGTTAGAACCAAACATAAGGCTTACATTGGGAAAAAAAAATGTATCTGCTTCTAGAGATTGTACTATCAAAGTGTCATTCAAATTCACAAATCCATCTTGACAAATAACTGCCATGTCCAAACATATAGGCGGTCATTTTCTACACCAAAGTGAGGTTGTAATGAACTGAACGAATAGATATTTCGCCCTTCGGGGCATATGGTCAACTGAAAATATACAGAGAAGATTGGCATAGCCCCTGCACTAAAGATGACACACTCAATCAAAGAGAAGCTACCTTTTTTCCCCCTTACAGATCCTTTATTAAGGGTATACTAGTGTGGGCCTTTTAACAGCATATAATTCGCCCTGCGCGTTGGAAAGTCACGTGTCTATGATCCGTTCGAACCCTGGGTTGGACGAGATAAAAGTGGGGCGGTCATTCCAACCATGGTCGAATAAGTTTTTATGAACGCCATGGCGGATCCATGTCGGGTACGAGCAGGTTCATCTAATCAATCTACAGTGATTTCTACCGAACCAGGCTAGATTGACAGAGCCGACCCCTCAGGTCTGTCAAGCATCTAAGAGACATCAGCTCTGCTAGCCGATAGCTGCACTCAAAGTATGGTATCATGTTTAGAGCTTTCCATGTCAAGAATACTAGATGGTGATAACTTATATATAGTTTAGTCAAAACTGTAGCTTTCTAAAGCATTTATACCGAGAAATTGGCAGAGCTATCACCCAAGCCCAATATATATCATAATTCCAGAGGTCTCTGATTGCTCCACATGGTGATAGAAAAGTCACAGAGGAAAAAAGGATATACAAACAAAAAGAACACATTTCAAATATCATTTCAAATCCGTGAATCATATAAACATCCCCGCAACCCCAACTGCCAGCCCAAAGACCAGATCATGGAGACTCGACATCCGCGCAGGGGAGGCATCATTCCCAGCTGCATCCGCATCGCCAGTCTGTGTCGCAACACTGCCACAATACCCTAAGTTGATACCATGGCAAGCATCTGCACTCAAGCTCGAGCAAATGGAAGTCGCCTGCGACGCAGCCGTGACAGCCTGAACCGTCTTGCCTTCCCCAGCACCACCAATAGTGACGCCGTAACGGCCCATCAACGCACCAGTGCACTGTGTGTACCCAGACTGACACAGGGAGTAGTAAGATGAGCAAGTCTCAGCATTTCTGAAAGCGGTCGGGATGACAACAAATGGGTATGCGCCGTCCAGTGTCGACCCGGTGACGGACGCCGCCCGGCCCTCAGAAGTGGGGGTTGCGGTTGCGGCGTTAGGAAACATGAAGGCGGTGCCTGTACCTGCCGTCTTCGTACCTGTCAGACTGCCGGTGCAGCTCGCACCACTCGCACAGCAGGCGATGTTGTTGGCGTCATCGCGTGAGCAGTTCGTTCCGTGCTTACAGCATGCGTTGGCGTTGCCCAGTTCGGTGCAGGGGATGAAGCCGCCCGGGCAGTTGTTGTCGGCTCTTCTGAGAATGCGAAGAATTTCGAAGGCTCGTTTGTTGGCTGTGGCTTCTTGTGCCTCGGTGAAGGGTGCTGTCTCCGTTGAGTGGACGGCCGAGGTGAGGAATGTGGCAGCAATCCAGATCCACCGGGAAGCCCGCATTCTCGGGGTCTGGGGACGGGGGTTGGAATGGTCGATTTGGAGAAATTGACTTGAGGTTTCGTTTGATTTGGGTGAGTTTAGTGGTTTATTTTCATGCTTCGTTTCGTCGTTGGAGGCGTTATCCGGGGTTGGGCTCGGGTGTCAACAAACCACTAAAAAGGAGTAAGATTAGCTTTCATCGGTCGCGAACGGTATAATTGAAGACTCGGCACTTGAACATACCTGAGTACCTGATGCCGGAAGATTTGAGAGATTCTAGAAAAGATCAGGGCTTAAAGAACAAATGATGTAGTTCACAGCGTCAGGTCACAAATCTCCACCAGGATGCCCCAGCAACCGCAGCCCGACCCTCTAGACCCAAAGCAAGTCAGGATATATTAATTTTTATATTAATTCTATTAATGCCCGGGGGAGTGGTAATATGTACCAAAACAGTTTCAATAATCACTAGAACATAATTTGTAAAACAAAACGTGGGACAGTTTCGATCCTACTGCAGCTAAATTGTTAGGCTGATTGGGTACGTTCTCACGGTGAAGTCCCAATGCCAACGAATACGTGATATGTCTTGGATCGCTACTTGTTACTCTGTGGAAACGGAGATTTGGCTCTTGTACTTTGAGCCAGCCCTTCGCCACAAGTGGATGAAAAATGCCATGTTGAAAGAGCTGTGACAGACCCTGCCAAAGTCGATGTCCCATCACTCATGTTTGCTTCATTGTGATCCCAGAAAGGTGGTAGTAGACGGAAGCCCTTCTCCTCTCTAGCATATTGGCACCGGCGTACCGACTCACTGTACAGCCCCGTAGGAATAAGATCATTTTCGTTGAATATACCTCATCCTCTGGCCCAAGGAAAAGCCATCGAATCTCCTTCCCAAAATGAACTGTGTGGCTGCTATCTGCAGCTGCGAAGAGTAGGACGGGCGGGATATTCTTGCCCCATCCCTCCTGGTTGCGAGGCACCCTTATAAACCTCTGTCGAGCCGTAAGCGCCATAGTATCGTGCAGAACCCCCAAACAGGGTGCAATGGCTTTAAACCGGAGAGACTTCACTCTTTGGATTGTTTAGATCGTTGTCCTCATCGTGAAAAGTTTCGTTAACCAACTCCATTGTAATATCATTCACCCAGTAAAAGAAGCTAGGTTCAGGCGAGAATATCGAATCTAGGAAGGAACTCACTGATGGGTGGAGTCGTTCGCACACAATCTGTATATCCTTGTCAGTTAAAAAAAAAGGCTGACTAGCTAGCTCATCGAGATCAGGTGTCTCTTGTCCATGGCAGGCCATCCAGCCATACGCAACCAGGTAGTTGTGTAGCCTCGCACAGCGCTCGCAGTCGGAGTCCACCAAGGCGCGCGGGATTTGCCTCCGACATCAGGGCATCATCAATGTTGAGGATTTATTGTGGTGTTGTATTCATGGTGAGTCGTGATGGTGATACTTAGAGAAGCAATATTGAGACCCAATAGTCGGGCTGCAACAATGCGGCGCCAAACCTAAAAGGGCACAACTGACCAGAAAACACAGATACATGTAGGGTACCCCAGTGTCTGACATGTAAGGGGTGTTAGGTCTGTTAGGTCGAAAACTTGCCCTTTTCTTTCTTCTGAGCTCTTGTCTCGTATCATATTGTCTTAATTTGTGTCTTGATCCTTACACTAGAACCTCAACCTGCCATGGCTTCTGTTAAGTCCCCCAGCATCCCTGTCGTGGACTTTGCCGGTTGGAACACGGAGTCCAGTCGTCAGCGAATTGCGCGAGAAATCGTCGCCGCTTGCAAAACAGTCGGATTCGTGTACATAATCAATCACTCATTGCCAGAATCGATGCTAGACGAGGTATTCAACTGGTCAAAGCTATTCTTCGAATTGCCACAAGACGAGAAACTCCAAGCGCCCCATCCAGAGGGATGGGCGGTCCACAGAGGGTACTCTTGGCCCGGGCTGGAGAAGGTGTCACAGGCGATGAATACCGGTAACGACAATGAAAAGACGGGCCAGCTGAGGGAAGTTATAGACATTAAAGTGAGCATCCGCTGTTTATCCATGGTCTTGTACTTTCCAATCAGCGCCGGGTTTATCTGTATAGTATAATTTGAGCTTCATTGACCTGCCATAGGAAAGCTATGATATAGGAAGCGACGACAATACCACTCAGCCTAATCAATGGCTACCCGAACACAGTCTCCCTGGTTTCCGTGACTTCATGCACCGCTTCTACTGGGAGTGTTTCCGTGTCGGAGGGGAGGTTCTACAAGCGCTTGCTGTTGGTTTGGAGCTAGATGAGAACCATCTGCTAGAGAAACACTCAGGTCATAATAACCAGCTGCGCCTACTACACTATCCTCCTATTCCGGCAGAAGCAATTGAGACAGAGCGTGCAGCCAGATGCCCCGCACATACAGACTGGAGTTCGATCACCTTGCTGTTTCAAGATGACTGTGGTGGGTTGGAAGTCGAGGATGTTTCGTCACCGGGAAAATTTGTCTCTGCAACGCCTATCAAGAACGCAATTTTGATGAATGTGGGTGATCTTTTACAGAGGTGGAGTAACGGTTTGTCGCTTGATATGCTCCGGGTTTGCTCTCAACCGCTGACTTGTATAGATCTTCTGGGGTCTACCAGCCATCGAGTCACTTTGCCGCCTCTTCCTGATAGATTCGAAGGAACCGATCGTATGACCCGTAGACGGTTTTCTATTCCGTATTTCATGGCACCGGATCCTGACTCGGTGATTGAATGTATTCCATGTGTTGGAGAAGGTGCTGCAAGGTATGAGCCGATCACACAGGCTGGATACAACCAAATGAGGGCTTCTATGCAGTACTGATAGTAGTAGCAATCATTGGCTCACTTTTATTATCTTTTATTATCTTTCAGGAATAATCCCATTGGTCACTTTTCCCCGATTCGTCTAGAATTGAAGCCATTGTGCTCCCTCCAGCTTCTTTGCCATTCCCCCTCCTCAATCATCTTGTGAAATTCCAATCCTACACAGGTATTTAATGAAGTATTGTGACTTCCAATGTACTTTTCATCTGTCTCTTTCGAAGATCGAAAGCCTTTACCATAAAAGTGACTCCATACTTGCCCTTGGCGCCGATCACTCCACCTGACTAAGAGCCAATCTTGGCGCTCGCCGAGATGGATCAAAGTCGCGTCCTTCATCAGGACCAGGATCCCGACCGCGTGGCCACCATGTACGGCGAACTCGGCAACAAATTGGTACGTGTGCTATAGATTTATCCTGCTCTTGGGTGTTCACAATCCCAACCCAGACACCGACCGCCAAATAGCACAAAGAGAGAACACAACCCGCTGACCAACACCTTACCCGCGATAGGTCCAACACGCCAAACGCACTCAATCCCTCGCTCACTTACCCCCCTACCAAACTGAGATCGTGCGCGCAGTAACTCGCGAAGTCCGCGATCTCGACCGTGATGTCACCCGCCTCCTAGAGCCCTTCGAGGGCGGGTTCAACCCCTCCGCGGACCCAGCTATCGCCTGCGCGCTACTCGTCGATCACCTGTGCATGCGCCGGAACAAGCGCTGCCTGCTTGCATATCACCGCGTGCGCACGGAGAAACTCGAGGAGCTGTGCTGGATGGGAGTGGATATCCTCGAGCAGCAGCAACCGTCCGGGGACAGTGGGGCAGCTCAGCACACTGCTCTTGGGGATAGCGGGCATAGTTCGCTGAGTCCCGAGGAGGAGGAGTATTTTCGCCAGTACGGGGATATGCTTGCTGCGTATAAGGGCCAGTGGACGGATGTCGACTTGACGGGGACGCTGGAGCCACCGAAAGATTTGTTCATTGATGTACGGGTGTTAAAGGATGCTGGTGAGATTCAGACGGAATATGGGTATGTTTTCTTTTCTCTCTGGCATTGTTTGGAGATCTGGTGGCTAATTCAGGCTTAGTGTGATCAACTTGACCAAGAACAGTCAGCTCTATGTTCGTCAGGGTGATGTGGAACGGCTGATTGCTCAGGGTTTCCTGGAGCGGTTGACTTGAATGTGAGTCGGGACTACCTGGCTTCTTTGGGTTCTATATGAGTACAAGAAACATGAATTGGCGTTCGCTATCTACAGTGGTTTTATGAAGGGACCATGTACTTTGAGATACCCCCGCCGTTAGCGTGTTCGCCCTAACGGCCCAAATGATAATTTTCTGCATTGCAATGGCGTGACACGAGTCTGATCGTACATGACTGCTGGTTTAATCAATATAATTTTTTTTCTCGAATTTTTTCTCTAGGTTTAGATTAGCCTATGGTAAAAGGTTGGAGCAGAGTCTAGATGCAGATAGATAATCACCTCGGAAAGGTGAGAAAGAAATAAGCTACAGACGTGTAAGATGCCCGGTAAATATTGGCAAATGACCATCCCCGTGGACAGCTCATTGGCTTATGGCGTTATGCAAGGAATCTTATGCTCCAATACTATGCGTCCGACTGCGGAGCTGCAGCTTGCTGCATACTTTGATTTGCATATCTAGTTTCAGAAATCGAGTTAGTCGAATTAGTCGAGTTAGTGCAAAGTTAATTCAAGTGAAGAGACAGCCTTGTACGGAGAGGTTAAGTATTTTTTATCCACATGGCGGTTTCCCTAAGTCTCGCACAGACCATCTCTGTCATCTGTACCAATCCGGATGTGGTTAGTTGGCTGTTAGGAGATAAGGGACGTTTAGTCAAAATTCCCGGTACTTCGATTTCTATCTTTGCTAATTTAGATTTGTGTTGATAACCCTCTCTTTTATACATATAACGCATTGAGCCCCCTGTGCAATGACCATCTCGGTTGCGTCATTTGTTTGTTCAAGCGGTCGCCTGCGCTAGTGGCCCCGTTTATCTTCCGGATTTCTTGACTTTTTCGACTTTATCACTTGGCAATTGCGCGAAACATGGCGGTGCTGCAACCTCGCGGCCGTCGTGACTCTCGCGCATCAGCGCTGTCACGCAATCTGTTGTTTGACCGCGACCCCCAGGGTAACGCCCCGTCAGAAACGCTGGTGGAACAAGCAAACCTAGGCAGCCCGCCCGGTCCAATGGGAGCGGAATCATCCAGCTACAATGGATCGACAACGCGAACACCAACCCGTTCATTCTACCACCGGTCCTTCAACAACAATATGGGTGGGTCATTGTGCATGATATACTGTTAGAGACCCCGCGCGAGTATTTACTGACCGTTTGACCAATCGTAGACCCGGCTCATTATGCTTCAGACGGTCTCCGTGACCAGACCGCAGAACTCGCTACCTATGGCCTTTCGCTGAATAAGAAATCCATCTTGAGGGACGGGCCCGGCTTACCTCCTAGCCTTGATATATTCCACGGCAGCCAAAATTCTGCAAGTTACTCGGATGAAGCTACAAGCTCTCACCATGCCGCGGGGGAGGCGTTGTTGGAGCCGGGATATCCCTCTATCGATCCTACTTCGCCTTCAGGCTCTTCGGCCTTGACAGAGATGATTCGCCGTCCATTGACGGATACGGTGGAGGACCAGGTCACGCAACCCGGGACCGGTGATATGTCCTCTCCCCCACTGCCAAAGACCCACGAGGAACCCGAACAAGACAATGAGAACACCGCGTTATTATCCAAATCAAGATCCAAATCTACCCAATATTATGGAAGTTCAGGCGACGCCGAGAATCAAAGACCGGCTGCCAAACGGTCTCCAACCCTAACAACGAAAGGAATTTCATATGCCACTCACTATACTCGGATCTTGTCGAACCCAAAGTCATGGGATAAGCGAGCTATATGGAAAGAGGCTGTGGTATACCCCGCCAGTCTGGTTCCCGCCGTATTGCTGGGACTACTTCTAAACATTCTTGATGCCTTATCCTATGGAATGATCTTGTTTCCTCTGGGAGAACCTCTGTTCTCTCACCTAGGAACTGACGGTATCTCGATGTTCTATGTCAGTACCATTATTTCCCAAGTTGTATTCTCCTGTGGAGGCTCGATTTTCAAAGGAGGAATAGGAAGTGAGATGATTGAAGTAGTACCCTTCTTCCACCAGATGGCTTTCACCATCATGAATTCGATCGGCAAGGATAACCCGAAGTCAGTGATTGCGACGACAATCCTAGCCTTCTCGGCCAGTTCAATTCTCACCGGCTTGGTGTTCTTCTTAATGGGTGTCTGTGGGCTGGGCTCGCTCATTGGCTTCTTTCCCCGTCATATCCTCATCGGGTGCATCGGTGGCGTGGGCTACTTTCTTCTACAGACTGGAATGGAGGTTTCAGCCCGGCTTCCCGGGTCTTTTGAGTACAATCTCCCCACGATCCAGAAACTTTTCCAGCTTGATACTTTCCCTCTTTGGATGATACCCCTGTTCCTTGCAATTGGCCTTCTTGTTCTCAAACGATTCGTTCGCTCAAACTTCCTTGTTGGTGGATACTTCATTGCTGTTGCTGCAATGTTCTACATAGTCATTTTAAGCGCCAGGATCTCTATGGGTGCACTGCGCCACAATGGATGGGTCTTCGATGCCCCATCTTCGAATAATCCGTGGTATCATTTCTATACTCTTTATGGTGAGTCGATTGGCTGCAATGCTTTGGGCGTCACCTTGCTAATTCATTTCAGATCTCTCGGCCGTCAATTGGACTGCCTTTAGTGAGACAATCCCGGCCATGTTTGCTTTGACTTTCTTTGGTGTGCTTCATGTGCCCATTAACGTACCTGCGCTGGGCATATCCACCGGTGAAGACAATCTCAATGTCGACAGAGAGCTCGTGGCGCATGGCGTGACGAATGCACTTTCAGGATTTGCAGGAAGTATTCAGGTATGTGACCGCCATTTATAGAGCTGTGGTCAACGAGCTAACAAAAGTAGAACTATCTTGTCTATACCAATAGTCTTCTCTTCATCGCAAGCGGTGGATCATCTCGGTTGGCCGGTCTGATGTTGGCGGCAGCTACTGCAGGCATTATGGTTATTGGCCCAGTCATCATCGGCTATATCCCCATAATGGTTGTCGGTGCGTTGATTTTCTTGTTGGGCATTGAGCTTTTGCAAGAGGCATTGGTGGATACATGGGGAAAACTCACCCGGCTTGAATATTTAACCGTTGTCATTATTGTCGTTACAATGGGCGCTTGGGACTTTGTGGTTGGAATCTTCATTGGTATCATTTTGGCCTGCGTGAACTTTGTGGTCCAGACTTCTCGCAAATCCGCCATTCGAGCAACATTCTCGGGCGAAATTTCTGGGTCGACGGTCCGACGTCCTCCTATCCAACAACAATTCCTACGCGAAGCTGGACAACAGACCCTGATTATCAAGCTTGGTGGATATCTATTCTTCGGAACCATTGTGAATGTTGAGAACACCATGCGTGGCCTGATTGAGGAGGAAGCTTTCGACCGACGTCCCATTCGATTCCTCATTCTCGACTTTTCTCGGGTCTACGGACTCGACTTCTCAGCCGCAGAAGCATTCACCCGCATCAACCGTGTTCTCCGAAAGCGCAACGTACAAACAGCTATCTCCGGTTTGAATGTTGAAGGTGAAGTAGGCAAGTCTCTACAAAATGTAGGACTCTTCGAGCCAGAGTCCGGTGTGCCCATCTTCGAAGATCTTAACTCAGCGCTTGAGTTCTGCGAGAACAACTACCTAAAGGTCTTTTACAGCCACCAGGAAGCACTTGCCACACCCACCGACTCAACTGCAAACTCCGAGCTCCCCCAAGTCCCCGCCTCAGTCCCCGCCTCAGTCCCCGTGCCCTCGGGACCCAAACCCACCACCCTAGCCGACAACGTCGTCAGCTCACCCCGGCGTCAATACCTGCAGCGTGTAGCGACCTCAACCATCCAAGCCCACGAAACAACAATGATGGCCTCCCCTGCCTGGTCCGCTATGCGCCAACCACTTCCCCTCCTCCTCCAAACCTTCCAAGGCCTATCGACCCAAAATGAAGACTTTTGGTTCCCCGCCTGCGCCTACTTCTCCCGCGAATCCTACCTTGCTGGCACAGTCCTGTACCACGAAGGCGACACCCCGCACGCGTTCTACCTCCTCGAGTCGGGCATGCTGCGCGCTGGCTACGACCTCCCGCAGGGCCGCTACTTCGAGCTCATTGTCGCTGGTCGACCGTGCGGCGAATTACCTTTCTTCAGTGATACGCGCCGCACGGCGACGGTCAAGGCTGAGCGCGATTGTGTGGCTTGGTGTTTGACGGGGGTGCAGTGGAAGGCGCTGCAGGATAAGGAGCCACGCATTGCTCGTGAGCTGTTGACTGTTAGCTTGAAGTTGACGACTGAGCGCATGGATAGTATCACCTCGTATGTTTTGACGATGGCAGCTTGATTTGGTTTTCTTGGCTTGTTCGCTTTTTGCATCTAGCTTTGGTGGTTATCTGAGCGAGTTGGGCTTCATTTTTATTCTTCATATTTCCCGGCTCTTTGGTTTACATATTTATTCGTACATAGCAGCTACAGCATCCATGCATGCATACCGACAATCTTGATGATTGTACCAAGTAGGCCGACGTCACTACGACCGATCCGCGACGGACTCCTTTTCGAGATGCGGACGTCGACCTCATAGTTAGTTACCTTGAATCACAGGGGATTTTGATTCCTTACATGCCAAACCCTTCACTTCAGCTTCATTCACCAGCGTAAGATTATTTTTTCAAAATGCATGAGACCAAAAGCAGTATGAAGACGCTAAAAGAAATCTCCCTTGAACAGTCTGGAGATATCTACAATTCGAGATCGCTCGCCCTACAGAGTTGCCTATGAAGCCCTGGTATGCAATTTTTACTTAGGCAAGCGATACAATTATTTTTAAAGCTGTTCAAGCAAGTCATGTAGGAACATATGTCTTGATCATAATCTCCCGTCGAGTACAATGAGAACTTCCCTGAACAAGACCTCGTCCAGGCATGTTACTCCTTGTTTGCCACCGCTATATGCAATAAATCAATAAAGACCCCCCACGATGGTCATTTTGTTTCTCAATCTTTGCCATCACTACACCCTGCACATCTTTCCCCTTTTACAGCTTCGTTGCAATCGTCTATCCATGAGCCATCTGGACGGGATGGAGGTAACCTGGCTACGGCTATCCAAAAACATTCAAAGGCGACTTTCTCAATCCCGATGTACTGAATGCAACGAACCCACATCCAGTTTGGGGCTACGCACACGGTGAGTGAAGAATATAAGTAATTTGCTCCGGCAACGGCCAGTATATTGAACCTTCATAGGACCTATTCCAAATAACAATCCTGATTGGAAACTAAAATTGACGACCCAACATCGATATATAAGCAAGAAACGACTCATAGTTGCTCTTGCTTCTAATAGGTCACAAGCCCCGATGGTTACCCCAATTAGAATAGTTGTGATATCTTGGTCCAAGAGACTCAACTGTGAGGAGCGAGCTTCAACGAGCCGCGCACCTTATCCGATCATGTTCGTGACCACCATATTGGTGCCGGTGCGTGTTCCGTTGGCTCGAACTCTGTACATTTAAGGTGTATGCTGATAGTGTATAGTTAACCCGCGAAAGCTCGGTCCCGTGGGCATCGAGGAAGAAATTGCTCGAAGTAACGCGATAAAGCGTTGGGTTTTGATGGGAGGCTGGCGTGATGCCCTCTATTTGAAAGAACCCAAGAGGCACACTATTTCTGCCACTCTAATCGTCTACTATTGTGATGCATTAGAGGAAATTGCGTGGGTCTCTTTTGTTACTCTCTGGTGTGGTCAACTACCTAAGCATATACTGATGACACATTCTACCAGGCGCACCGATGCCCAGCTTGCTGCAGAGTATGGAACTCAATTTCACCGATCCGGGTACCAATATTCATCTACTACATTAGAATACGTAGGTATACTTCCAAGACCCCAAGAGAACCTTAGTATGTTGACATTATTAAGCGCATGACCAATCTTCCTGGCAATCGACTGATGCCCTTGGTTGCGCCATCAACACCCGGTAGCGATGACTCTGTGAAATCCTCTAGATGCGAACAGCCTACCCAGACCGAGCCCACATCTGACAATGACCCCGATGTCAACCCCGATTTTACATCTGGATCTGGGCCTGATTGCAATGTTGTGTCCATTGAGTCCGAGCCCGGGGACCGGCAGATTGTAAGAATAGCCATACCAAGCACGGTTTTGGGAAGTTCCTTATTTGACTACAAGAAGAATAGTTGACCAGAAAAAACGGGAAGAGGCTTGATTTGTGAAAACGACGGATTCTGGGGTCCAGTATAGTCCATACAAATATTGGGCATTTTTGGATATTATCATTTAAGACCTGTAGTAATTTAATAATATCAAAAAAAAAGACCTAAGTTAGGTCGATTCTAAATATATAGGTCAAACGAGATCTATCTGAATTCCAATCCCCGCGCGCCGTGATGCACGTGATCCGGCGTTCCTGATACGCGTGGGCGCGTCCCCGATTGCCTCATTTTGGTTTTACACTTGGATGTGACTTCTCTTGGAGATTTTCCAATCATTCGGTCTTTGATCGCATACTTCATCCCTAAATTTGGCCATGGCAACTGAAAACGGAGAGTCTAAGCTCTTCGAGCAGTGTTGCCTCTGCATTGTATGCTCCAAGGACCTTTCGAGGGAATCCGCGGAGCAGGTATGTGTTTTCCTGCCCCTATTACGGCCTGAACTAGACTGACAAATTATAATCGCCTAGCTCGCAACTATTCTCGAGCAAAATGGCGGCGAACCTCAGATTGTTCAACCCGGTGCCGAGGTCCCCGATGTGGCCAAGTTCAGCCATTTGATCTCTACCACAATTGACTTCGAAGCCTACGATACTGCCTGCGATGCTTTGATCCCTGTCGTGAAGCCACAATGGGTGGGTAACTCATTGACGAAGCGAAAATTGGCGAATCCTCGCCAATACAGCCCAGACCCGCGGCTGTTCATGAATGATGTCGTGGTTACCTGCGGTGACATACCCGAGGGAGACAAGGATGCCATCATAGGTGGCGTGGTTGCGAAAGGTGGATTGTACGCTCCAAGAGTTTCTCAGATGGTTACACACTTGGTGGACCTCACAGCCGATTCCGACAAGGCGCGCATTGTTCAGGCGAAGAAATTGAACGTGAAGATTGTACTACCCCACTGGTGAGTTTCATGCACACTAGTCAGTGGCCATCGCTGACTGGGAACAGGTTCGATGACTGCCTTAAACTTGGTCGACGAATCGACGAACGTCCATATACACTTCCAGACCCAGAGATCTTGCGCGTGGGTCCTGATACTCCAATCCGATGGCAAGAGAATCAAGATTTGGTCGGTGCGTCAACAACAGATCCGGCTAAGCTGCCCACGCCATCTAGTACGGCGCATAACCCAGGCCAACGGAGTGTCTTCGAAGGGAAGTGTATTATGCTGTCTCCGGATCTTGGCATCGGCTCGCACTTGCAAGAATCAATCCAATCTGTCCTCGAACAAGGCGGCGCCAAGATGACATCAAATATTGATGGGGCAGATATGTTAATTTGTCGTTACCGAGACGGATTTGCGTACCGCACAGCATCGCGACTGAACATAGACGTTGGGAATCTCGCATGGCTCTACCGCCTCATGACATTCAACACATATACTTCACCCCTCAGGCGACTGCTGCATTACCCGATATCTCGTACTGGCATCCCCGGGTTCGAAGGCTTGAAGATTAGTTTGTCCAACTATATTGGCGAAGCAAGAATCTACTTGGAGAATTTGATCGCAGCAGCAGGTGCAGAATGTACCAAAACATTAAAGCAAGAAAATACCCATCTGATTACGGCACATGGAACGAGTGAGAAATGCAATGCCGCGAAGGAATGGGGCCTTGAAGTGGTCAACCACCTGTGGCTGGAGGACAGTTATGCAAAATGGAAGCTACAGCCGGCCTCAAACCCGCGCTACAGCCACTTCCCCCTGCGAACTAATCTCGGAGAAGTCGCAGGCCAGACCCAGCTCGACCGTAATGTTTTGGAGCAGGTCTTTTTCTCATCCGGGGAGACTGTCGCTCATAGCCCGCGGCGCGCAATGCAGAGAAAGGACCGAAATATGGTATCAGTGCAGCCTCCCGCTGAGAAGAAACGGAAGATTGATGAGGATGCCGCGGAAACCTCGCATGGTACTCCGCAGGGAAATGGGAAGTCGCGCCAACCCATCCAAACACCTGCACGAACTCGAATCATGTCCGAAGGCAAAGAAAACGAGACCCCGTCGTCGACCAGTAGCCGCAAGTCGAAAGATGCAGCAACTGCCCGACTCCACGAATATGCCCCAGATCTTGCCTTGTACGAAAAGGAAAGGAAACGCGTGGGCGGTGTTATATACGGTGGCAGACGAAAGTCAGACGAGGGCCGGGTTCAGGAGAACAAGAAGCGTGCCTCACTTGAAGCCGAGGATGAGAGCGAAGGCGAGCAGGCAGTGGAGACCAAACGACAGAAAAAGTCTCGGCCACCAATTGCTATGCACCTGCTGATTACTGGCTATCAGAGATGGGTAGGGAAGGGCAACGAGAAGAAAGAGGACGCAGACAAGGTTTGTTTGGCTATTGCAATTATAAACATGATTGGCTCAAGATTCATTACTGACATGTTCACAGCGAGGCCTTCGAGATCTCGGTATTCTGGTGGTTCAAGATGCCCGACGATGCTCTCACTTGGCCGCACCGTCCATCTTGCGGACCACTAAATTCGTGAATGCACTCGCGCATGCGCCGATGATTGTGAGCACAGACTTCATCACTAGTTGCCTGAAAAAGGAGGAACTGCTCGACCCCTCCGATTTCCCTCTAAAGGATAAAGAAGCCGAGAAGAAGTACAATTTTGACCTGTCTTCTGTCACAACAAACGCAATGAAGAACAAGAATAAAATGCTGCAGGGGTATCGCATCTATTGCGTCGAGGACATTCGAGGCGGATTTGATGCATTTAAGTCTATTGTTGAAACAAACGGAGGAGAGTGCATGCTATTCCGTGGTCGTCTGGCTATAGCGAACCATTCCCGGCGGGAGGAGAGCGACGACGACAGCGAAGCGGAAGACGACAACCCTGCTCGCAAGGATGTCTTTCTTCTCAGCAGCGCCGGAGCTAATCATAGTCGAGTCTGGCCACGATTCCGTCAACTGGCACTCGAGATCAAGAAGACTCCCCGGATTGTCCGTGTTGACTGGCTTCTGGACATGGCGATGTCGCAGGAGACACGTGCCACCGACGAATACGAGCTGACCGAGGAGATGATCGAGAACATGGACGAGTAGACTGATACCAAGTTATTGAGTCCATACCCCTCATCCACTTAGGGTTTTCAGCCCAAGAACATGGATTCTGTGTATAAGTTTGGAGTATCGGCGACGTGATTTGACCTGTCTTTTGACCTGCACATGAGAAGCGCTTTGTTTTTGTCACGAATAGCCACGATTTATCCCATAGAGCAATCCCAGCATCTCATCTTGAGCACCTCAGAAGAACTTAACACCCTCCTGGCCCTCACCACCAAAAATCTGCGCTTTGCCCCTCTTAACCAAGACATTCAGCGAGCGCAGCATGACATCAGTATCCATGCCATGGAACTCTGTAGACGCGAATCAGCACAAACCGTAGACGCCATTACCAATAACCAAAGAGAGAATCTCACCCTGTGACATGGCTCCCTCCCCATGAATAAGCTCATATACCGTCAGAACTGAGCCCCTCTGCCCTGTTCCCTCAACCCATTCAACTAAGACATCCGCCCATTCCTCAGGCCTCCTCCACCAAACCCACGCAACAGCCTTCGGCCCCTGCCCGGCACCAATTCCCAGGCTCCCGGAAGACGACGTACCTCCAGCATCAGAGATCCACTCCGCTCGCCGCCCACCGCCACCTTCCTCTTCGCTCTTGGTCATCCAGTCGATGACCGCGCGGGCCTCGCGCAGATCAAGGCGCTTGCGCAGGGCTGTGTTGTGGAATAGTGGGGTTTCAACGGCGTCGATTAGTGAGAGACGGTATTGACGGTGATGCCGGCACCAGGATTGGATTAGAGAGGACCATTTCTCGAGCTGTGAGTGTCGGGTTGTTGTGTTTGGTTGCGGGGTGAAGAAGGGGGGAAAGTTGTAGGTTGGTGGGAAGGGGAACGGGGCTGTTGTTGTCATGCTGGGGGAGATCACGGAGTCAAGATTTAGAGATAATAAGTGAGTAGACAAATAGAAGTAGAAAAGTCCCAAGTACGATGTAGAGAGAGACTAGAGACAAGCAAGTCGACTCCAAGCTGTGGAGTAAAAGGTGGGGCCGGGATTTTCTCAATTTCGTCGACTTCGGCCTTTTCGATTTCTCTCTTCACCTCTGCTCTTCACAATGGCCACCCAAAATCCCCCCGCAAAGCGTATTAAGCGCGAAGAGTACCGTCGCAATGTACAGGCCCAGCAGGAATCTACCGATGGCTCCGTCATCAAGATGCCGCAGAAGAAATTCTTCCGCCAGCGCGCGCATGCGAATCCCTTCTCTGACCACCGGCTGGAGTAGTATGTATCATCTTGTGTCTATTTCACGTTAAATCATTTCTATGGGAATATCTATGTGGTCTTCGAGCTTCACTGGCGACAATTTCTACACATCCGATCGCGAACTGATAGCTAATTGATACTCCAATAGTCCCATCAGCCCCGCGCATATGGACTGGTCATCCCATTACCCTGCATTCGTGGATCCAGACACTACCAAAACGACCCTCAGCGGAGGGCGCAAGTTGACCAAGGAGGTCGAAGTCGTGGATATTGGATGCGGTTTCGGCGGGCTACTGGTTGGCCTGGCGCCATTGATGCCAGATACCCTGATGGTCGGTAAGTACAGCGCAGCGACATCAAATCCATATTTGCACCTGCCATGAATGAGCACCGCAAACTAACAATAAACCACAGGCATGGAAATCCGCATTTCAGTGCTTGAATACCTCAGCTCTCGCATCCACGCCCTGCGCAGCCAACAACAACGCCTCAAGAACAAAGACGCGAACCCATCATCAACCGAACCCCAAGATGCCTCTGCGCAACCCGAAAGCACCGGCTCAACCCCGGCCCCAGTACCAGCCAATGATGACGAAATCGGCACGGAGAAACTCTTCCCAGGAAACTTCGAAAACATCACCGCAATCCGCAGCAACACCATGAAGTTCCTCCCCAACTTCTTCGGCCACCACCAACTCTCCAAGATCTTCATCTGCTTCCCGGACCCGCACTTCAAGGCCCGTAAGCACAAAGCTCGTATTATCTCCGAGTCCCTGAACTCCGAGTATGCGTTTGTCCTGCGGCCTGGCGGTCTGCTGTACACCATTACCGATGTCGAGGAGTATCATCACTGGGTCCTGCGTCATTTCCTGCACGGAGAGCAACCGGAGGGCGGGGCACCTCCTGCTGCAAGCAGTAAGGACCTGTTTGAGCGGGTTTCCGAGGAGGAGCTTGCTGCTGATCCTTGTGTGCGGGTTATGAAGTATGAGACGGAGGAGTCGAAGAAAGTTACGAGAAATAAGGGCAATAAGTACGTTGCTGTTTTCAGGCGCAAGGCTGATCCCGAGTGGCCTGCTTGAAGGGGTGGAGAGAATTGGATGCCTAATTAGAGAGGTGAATATGGGAAGTTATTGGAATCATTGATTTTAATGATATGATGACAAGAGAGGTGTTTTGAGGCGTTTTCCCCCATTTAAAATGCATTGCCGATATCATCCATATACTCCAACATGGCAATCTTCGCTTGCTAACAAGAACACAACACAAAAACGAACAAACTCCCGAAATGAACCCCGGAAAAAAGGGGTTGTGGAACACATGCTGAGAAATGAAGCGATGCAAAAAAATCAAACACCGACATCATGCGTAGATCTATCATAATAACAGTAATCTCGTTAAAACATGGTGATCGTAGCCCCGCAACTAGATAGTGCAGTCTAGCACATCCCAGGCGCCTTAAGACGGATACCTTCACATCTCTCACAGATCGCCAGTTGGACCGGACCACCGATCACGCGGCCCTTGGCTGTTCGCTTGGGCTCGCCTTCGCGAACGAAGAACCGGCCCTCCGGACCAAAACCATCGCCACACTCGTGACAATTGAAGCAGCGCTCGTGCCACTGGCCACCAATTGCGCTGATGACAACCTCATCCATGACATGCTGCTTGCAGCCTAGACAACGTGGTGCAGTACGGCGCGAGTGGCAGTGAAGACACCATGCGAAGCCGTCTTTCTCGACAAAGGGAGTTTGGGAATCGAAGGGCTATATTGAAGAGAAATAGTCAGTTATCTTGCGTGGGAAATAATCAGAAAGGATATCAACACCTACATCACCGCACTCTGCGCAGAAGAAGTGGCCGACATGCCATTCGGCACCACATGCCACCACCACTTCTCCTTCAATAGGGGTCTTGCAGCTCTTGCAACGAGGGCTGAACATCTCGTGGAAATCTAGGTGGCAGTAGAACCGTGGCACACGGGCCTCATGATCATGCTCATCAGCCTCGGTTGCCAATCTTTCGGCTCTGCTAGACTCCGGTTCTTGGTAAAAGGCCACACATTCGAGAGCTGTGTGGCAGTGGAAACACGTAAAGCACTCCGGGTGGAATCGACATCCGCCAGCAGTCACGATTTTTCCGGAAATGGGAAGCGTGCATAGCTCACAGCTTGCAGTCGGGACGCCAGATCGTGTATAGGGCGAATACCAACGGCTCTGCGAATCAGATCCTTGCTGTCTGGGGATAGCCTGATTAGTTGGACCGCTTCTCGTCGAGTGGGGTACCGGTCTGGTCGATTTCTTGGAAGGAGCTTCTATCTCGGAGATAGTGGGTACTTTGATGTCCGGAACATTAATCACGGGAATTGGAGGTGGCTCAGAGACTTCGATTGAGGGGGGGTGAAACTTCAATGGTCGGTGCTGCCACTTCAATGATGGGTAGGGTTGGACGATCAGGCTTCGGTTGATCACTTGGTTTCCAAGTTTGGTCGAAGCTCACGATTGGACGTCCAATTCGATCACTGACGGCTGAAGGCATGGGTAACTTTTCACTGCGGTCTCCTCGTCTTTTGCTGGTCGCTGCCCGGATATCATCACTGCGTCTCTCTCTTCCGTCGGGGGTAGAGACAAGTTCGTTCTTTTCTTCCGGGGGAGGAGTCGGAGTAGCAGGTTCGTTTCTAGTGTAACCGGCATTGTGTGACTGAGTGGGAGGAGGAGTAGCGCTTTCGTTTCGAGTGTAACCGGCGTTACGCGACTGAGTGGGAGGGTTCTTATTGGTTTCAAACCGCGAGATTTTATCCATCACAGGGCTGGTATGGGCTCTATTCTGCAGCCAAGGCAGTGGCCTAGGCACACGCCCCAGAGCGTTGCGTGGTTTGTTTTTCAAAGCTGACGAGTCAGACTTCGAAAATTCTGGTTTTGCTTCGGGTTCCTTCTGAGCATCAGCGGGTTCTTCGTAGATTTGGTCGTTCGGGTTCCTGAAAATTCCTTTAGAGGAATCACTGCTGACGGTACGCGATTTGGGAGCAACAGACTGCTCGGGTTCCTCGTCAGGCAGTTTAAAGTTAACTTTGAGATTCTTCTTTGAGGGTCCAGCTAGAGATGATCGCTTCCGCGTTGACTCAGGGCTAGAGTTACCATCAGAGGAGACAGTTGAGCCTGTCGACTGACTGAATCTATTGGTTGAAGGGGTAGTTTCTCGAGAGCCATTTCGGACAGGGCTCTGGCTGCGCCTGATGGCATCAGGATTCTGGTATGGCGCATAAGGATTTTTGAAAGCTTGACCAGGATTCTGGTGCATCCAAACTAGTTCTGTGGCCTCATCTTGAGCTGCTTGGTGAAGACCAACATCATCCTCAACATCCATTTTCTGCAAGGCATCTCGTAGTGCCCGTGCCTCTTCCTTTTCGTGTCGCCGTTGACCATTTTCACGATAGGGCAGAGCTGAAGATACCGGGATGGGAATGGTACGTGCATGAATCTGTGCTGGAAACACGTTCTTCCGGATTGAGTGCGTGCGTGGCTCCTGAGCTAAAGGACGACCCATTGCGCCGCCGCCAGGCACATGGGAGGCTGTCCGGCGATGGGACATTGCGCTACCTGACCGTCGGTGATCGTCAATCTCATCTTCGACCGGACTGTGCATGGATAATGCCGATGATGCCCTTGGAGGAAGGCTATCAGGTAGGTCGCTTGTTGCGGCTGGTCTACCTGGGTATGGACGAGATCCTGTCGGACGGGCAGGACGATTTGCCCGCAAGTCCTTCAAGTATGTCGCTGTTGACTCACGTATCAGCTCTGAGCCGTCCAGCACCAAAGAGTCACTTACAAACTTGATCGCTGGACATGAAGGATGGGCCAGGAGGTGAGACCTTCCTCTGACCGGTGTTATGTTTATGCATCATGGAATTGCAAGGATCAAGGATGTAAAGAGAAATACGGATAAGTACAGGATGATGACGAAGAACTAAGGACCAAGATGAACTAAGATGAGAAGAGTCTAGTTGCGATCTACATTTGACGGTCTGAGCTGGCTAGCGTCATTGGGTTGTTCCCCCTCCAAACAAACCCCTAGGGCCCGTCGCGAGGCAACGGATGACTCAGCATCCTTATCTACCTAGGTCCTGATAAGGGCTTGGTTCCATTCAACCCTATTAAGCCCTATATTGGATAACGTAGGTTGCTTGTTCAAATCATATTTGGCAAACATATATAGATTCATACTTGACAAAGACTTGGCTCTATGGATACCTGTGGACATGTCTCTATCCAGATGACTAAGACTCCCCCACATCTACCCAACTTCTCCAGGGCTGGACTCGACTCTCTCCGCATCGGCTTCTCGGCACAGAGACCCCACAGCCAAGTAAAGCGCTGACACCTCGAGAACTGCACAGCTTGGACGCAAAGTAGCTATTCGCTATGTATATCAGCTTCCTTCATTGGTTCAATATCGCCGAGTGGAAATAAACCACGAGGCCCCGGGCATTTTCCTTTATTCAAACAATGTTCATTGGATTCGGCATTCAGTCCGAAAGTCCGATAGTCCGATGACTCCAATTATTACCAACGATAAACTGATTGAAATCTAGTCCCTTTTTTGTTAGCGTACTAATTTAAGTCTCTTGCTTCTTTTCACTACATACTTCCATGTTGAGATGAAAACGGCAACCGGTTTCGGTCTACTCTCTAATAAGCTCGTTATCTCATATAATAACAACAAGCTGGGCTTGTATCTGAGCTACCATGGCAGATAATGTGCCAATTGATATCATCCGTTCCCATCAGGATGATATAGACCGAGAGAGCGCAAAGCAGGAACAGAAGTTGCATCCGCAGTCGGCACCACTGGACGTCGATGAAGATGAGAAATATAAGCGCGATGTGGCCCCCGATGGTGGCTATGGCTGGGTCTGTGTCGCCTGTGTTTTCTGGATTAATGCGCATACTTGGGGTATCAATAGCGTGAGTACCAACATTTGCCTTTTCACTGTCATTTTACTAACAGGTCTAATATTCAGAGTTACGGAGTCTTTCTGAGCCATTACCTCTCAAACGATGTATTCCCCAACACATCGGCTTTATCATACGCCTTCACAGGCGGCTTGAGTATCTCCTGTGCCCTTCTGGTGGCTCCATTAGCCACTTGGATGATACAAAAATGGGGAACACGACTTGTACTCAACCTGGGCATCTTCCTTGAAACCCTCTCTCTAATAGGGTCCTCATTCGCAACCCAGAAATGGCACATCTTCCTCAGTCAAGGTGTCTGTTTCGGTTGGGGCATGGGCTTTCTCTTCGTGGGCAGTGTCGGCATCACCCCGCAGTGGTTTGACAAGCACCGTGGTGTAGCGATGGGCATCAACGCGGCCGGATCTGGTCTCGGCGGTCTGATCTACTCCCTAGCAGTGGGCGCCATTATCCCGCGCTACGGGTTGGGCTGGGCGTTCCGCATTTTGGGCATCATTTCTTGCGTCGTGAACCTGGTCTGCTGTAACTTGCTCCGGGACCGCAATAAGGCCGTCGGCAGTAGATTCACGGCTTTCCATCTTCCTCTCCTGCGTCGCCCGGAGTTTTTGCTTTTCCTCGGGTGGGGTGTGTTCAGTATGCTCGGCTACGTGGCGCTGCTGTTCAGCGTTGCCAACTTTGCCCTCTCTGTCGGCCTCTCATCGCACCAGGGTAGTATTGTCTCCGCGCTGCTCAACCTCGGCCAGGGTCTTGGCCGTCCGTTTGTCGGCATGTTCAGTGACCGGCTTGGTCGCATTAATATTGCCACTTCCCTTACCTTCCTCTGCGGTCTATTCTGTCTTGCCGTCTGGACTTCTGCTGATAGTATGGGTGTGGTGTGCTTCTTCGCTGTTCTGGTTGGCACTGTCGCAGGTACGTACTGGGCTACTGTTTCTCCCGTTCTGGCGGAGATTATTGGCATCAGAGATCTCCCTTCCGGTTTAAGCATTACTTGGCTCACGCTTGTTGCCCCTTGCACTGTCTCCGAGGCTATAGCCCTTCAGCTCCGCAGCCACAATGTTGGTGGCGGGACTTCATATCTGCGTGTTCAGTTATTTACTGGCTTCATGTATTTTGGTGCTTCCTTGTGTTTGTGGATTGTCCGCGGTTGGAAGGTCGGCGAGTTGGAGCGTGCTCAGGAACGCTGCGATTCTGTCGTCCATCCTGGCCCGTTGACTCGAAGTATCGGCGGAATTGAGAAGCACAACCTCCCTGCGACTATTTCCCCGGCCTCGGGGGCCACTGAAATGGTTGCTCCGTTATGGGCTCCGGTCAGCTTAGTTCGCAGAATGATTACTTTGAAAAAGGTTTGATATAACTACATAGCATAAAAAACAGATATGCTAGACAAAATGAACATACAAAAATAGACAAACGTCTGTCATTAATTTGATTCGAACGCCGTTTTGACACTAAATCTAATCTACATGGATGTAGCTTTTGGTTCATGCCTCCATAACCAGAATGCGGACCCTTCTCTTGCCGGCGCCACGACCCTCTTCCTTGACGGAACTGACATTGACACGAACCCTTTGGAAAAGTTCAACTGTCACACTGTGTTCTTTCTCTGTGTGACCCTTCTCTTCCACACGAAGGGTGTACTCCTCACTATCAAAGTCTGTGGTACGGTGAGGAGCTAGCTCCCGTCTCTCGGCGACAGAACGAGCTCCAGCTTCACCGGGCAGGACGAAGTCCTCCAGACGAACGACACCCTCAATGCCGAAGCGGGGAACAAAGATGACAACGCCGTTCTCGAACACACGCATCACGTAACCTTCTTCTTCAATACCCGCATCGACACCGTCGGCGGCCATCTTCTCTCCACGGGCTTTGAGAGCCTGACCCACATAGTACTCAATACTAGCGCGGCCGGCATGCTGTGCATTGCGGTGACGAACATTGATGTTCCGGCAGATGTCTTCTAGCTTGTTGCGGGTGCTGACGCCCTCGATGACTGCGTGTCCATCCTCGCCTTCATACCCAATGGCAGAAGCCAATTGCCGATGAACCATCAGATCGGCATATCGTCGAATGGGCGAAGTAAAGTGGGTGTAGATAGGTGAGGCGAGACCGTAATGACGGAATTCAGACTCGGTAAAGGCACCCGCACAGAAGTATTCGGCGGAGGTCATGCAACGGGTCGCCAAGATACGGACCAGGGTGTTGAAGAATGGGTTCTCAGGATCGACGCAGCGGTCCAACGAATCAGCCAGAGCTCTCGAGCTGGAGACATCAAGCTCCATGTTCCGCTTCTTCGATAGTTGGTTTTGAAGCTCCTCGAAATTCTGAGGCGGGGGAGTGGCGTGTCGACGTAGCAAGGCCGTCTGAGAGAAGGACTCGTAGACCTTCGAGCCAACGGTGGTATTGGCGAGAAGCATGAACTCCTCGACCAAGCTATTAGTGTCGAGCATAGCCTTAGTCTTGACGTCCGTCAAAGGATCGCCCACTTCGTCACCCTCAGTCTCAATGCGGACTTCCGGGGAGGCAAGGTTCAAGGCACCAGCGTCCATACGCTTCTGACGGAGAACCTTGGAGAATTTCAAGAGGGTGCGCATGCTTTGGGTCAGCTCGTCCTGCTGTGACTTGTCGTCGATGCGTAACTGGGCTTGTTCGTAACTGAATGCTTCTCGGGAGCGAATGACCGACTTGGTGAAGTTTGAAGACACTATCTCGGCATCAGGTGTAATCTCCCACAGAACCGAGAAGGCATATCGTTCAACATAGGGTTTGAGAGAGCACAGGTCTGTGCCAAGAAGATGGGGAAGCATGTCGATACGCTTATCGACTAGGTAAACAGTGGTTCCGCGAACACTGGCCTCGAGATCCATTGGGTTGTTAGGCTTGACGAAATGCGACACATCCGCAATGTGTACACCAACCTCAAAGTTTCCATTTGGTAGGAGACGTGCGTGAAGTGCGTCGTCAATATCCTGACAGCCGGGTGGATCGATACTGCAAATAAGCAAGTCTCGAAGATCTTTCCGGCCGTTCCAGCCCTTGTTTTCCTTTGAGACAGGGACCTTCCAATCATGTCCTTCGGATGGCAGGCAGTCTAATACAGACTTCGGGAATGGTTTGTACTGCACATCGTATTCAAGCAGTAGAGCTTCGGTTTCGGCCCCCTTGGTTTCGAGCTCTCCCAGAGAACGAATGAAGTGACCGGTAGGGTATCTCGAATCACGGTCCCAAGAATCGATGGTGACAAGAATTCGCTGGCCGAGAATATCGCTAGCCTGTCTTGTGCGTACTCTGATCTTCGGGATACGTTTATCCATGGGCAGCAAGAAAACGTTTTGTTGCCGTCTGCCGGAGGCCTGGGACCCAGTAGAACTTGAGTCAACGTGACCAACGTATTGACGCCAGCTGCGCTTGATCACACCAACAACCTTGGCAGTGGGTTGTGGCTTGCCATCCGAGTTCTTGCCATGGGCCTTTTTGACTTCTTCCTGGAGAGCTTTGCGTTCTCTGTCTGTCACCACAGCCTCGGTCTCTTCAGTATCAGGGTTATCATTGCGGGTCACGGCTTCCTCGTCCACAATCTTAGTCGAGGGGCTCTTCCACTGGTCCTTTGGCAGTACTTCCACCACGACCGAGTCACCTGCAATAGCGCGGTTACTGTTATCACGTCCCAGAATGAGAAGAGGTTTGTCGAAAGCTGCGGTCTTGACAGAGGCTTCCAGGTAGTTGTAAGGAGAAACATTGAACACTCCTTGGTGCAATGTCCCGGCTCGCAGGCCAGTCGTGAGTTTTGACATTGAGAAGTATTCGGGGTAGAATAATTCTCCGCGAGGTGCTTCTTTGGCATCTCGCGCATCCTTTGACTCGCTGATCATATCCAGCAACATCTCGGACCCCTCCAAACCAGAGACATAGTCGGATAGCGACAATGCCGCCACATTTTCTTCCTTGCATTTCCGAAGATTCTCCTTGTCATCAGTGATGACTACAATTACCGGTATCGCCTTCTCTTTCTTTCCCTTTTTCGCTGATTGTTGCAGGTGGGAACCGTACCAGCTTGCTACCATGCGCACAGCGCGATCGTTCCTGTCGTTGATTGTTTCCTCCGGATCTCTCCTAACATGAGTCTCTCGGCGGAACTCATTGAAAAAGAGATAGAAGCGCTTTTCCTCTGACTTGACGAGGGCCAGAAGACGGTTGTAGAGTGGTAGTGATCGGTTTCTCAATTCCTCGAGGACGGTCTGGAGGACAATCACATCGTAGAAGGCCCCAGTGTGCTCGAAAAGATCCATTCCATTAAGCAGCGCATTTGTATCTGGAACAAGATAGTGGCCTCGTGGAAATGCCTTTGTGCCAGCGGGGCGATCGGATAGGATGAACGGCGCAACTGTTTTGCATTAGCAACTTGCTCCCCCGTCACTGCAATCATTTACTTACTGTTTCCATTGGCATCAGCCGGCGCAATCGTCGGGCATTGTGAGCAGAGCTTAGAGGAACAAGGAATATCTTCTCTCAAATAGAGCTCGCGGACAATCTTTTGCACCTTTCCACTTTTCGTGGACCTAACGAAGACCTTGCTGGTAACATTTGCGGCCTGCGGGTTGGCAGACAAGTCTCTCCTTAAACTCTTCATTGCGACGATAATATTTTACCGTCTGGCAGTTGCTGAATCTATCAAAACCTGTGTGTCTTGTAAAAGATCCGAGGTGAGAGTCTTGGCGGGAAGAAAGGTTATCGCTGATCATCGCGATAACTAGCTGAGTCAGCATACGGGTCGTCACTTTGGGGTCAAAAGATGCCATTTCACTCCTATAACAAAGGTATTTTCCCGTAAAGAACTTGCATTCTGATTCCTCTCGAATTCTAAATCTAAGCACTATGGTTTTAGCGGTATGTGCACCATCCATCGGGCATGAGCGAGCCACTTTGCCTAACAACCTGCTTTGATATAGGCCGTGGGGCAGCTATGCGCGACTAGCAACATAACTTCCAATCTAGCTCAGTGCAAGGTGCTGGTTCGAAAGGCTGTTGCAGCAGGCGCCAAGGTGATATTATACATATCCTATTACCAACTCTCCGATAGACAGCTCATATATGTTAGGTGCTCTTTCTTCCAGAGGCATCGGACTATATCGCATCCTCGGGAGAGCAATCGTACTCCCTCGCCCAGTCTGAAGAGAGGGCTAGCTTTGTGTCATCCTTACAGATAGATGCCAAGGAACATCATATTCACATCAATGTTGGAATTCACGAAGTAGCTTCTGAAACCAGGCTCAAGAATTCATTGATTTGGATCGACGACAAGGGAACTATTACCCAAAACTACCAGAAAGTCCATCTATTTGACGTTGATATCAAAGATGGACCTGTACTTAAGGAGAGCGCGTAAGCCTTTTACTTTATTTTATACGAAGATCCGATATTTGACTTATCATTCGCTAACCTCGAACCATCTAGGAGCGTCCAACCGGGACAACAAATTCCAAGGCCATTTGAAACACCTATAGGGCGTGTTGGTCTAAGCATTTGTTTTGATGTAAGCGCAATTCAATTTGACATTATGTCGGACATCAGGCGGTTCAACTTCTTACTCATGCTGGATTATCTAGTTACGTTTTCCAGAGATGAGCCTGGCATTGAGGCGACAGAACGCTGAAATCATCACATACCCGTCGGCATTTACTGTTCCGACGGGCAAGGCTCATTGGGAGCCCTTGCTACGAGCAAGAGCTATTGAGACCCAGTCATACGTGATTGCAGCTGCGCAGGCAGGTCCTCATAATGAGAAGAGACGAAGCTATGGTCATTCTGTAATCATCAGCCCATGGGGTGAAGTGGTAGCGAAGCTGGGAGATGAGCACCAGGAGCCACATATTGCAACTGCCGATATTGATCTCGATCTTGTGGCAAAGATTAGGCGTGAAATGCCGTTGCTTCGGAGAACCGATCTATATCCAGAGATTTGAGAATCCTATGTGAACAGCGAGGCAATGCCATCGTCCTCTTTGTTCCTAGTACATTTCGCGGAGAGTCTATTGGATACCAACTTTCATGATGGACTTAGTGCGAATTATGAGCATTTTCTTTTGCGACCGGGGCACCTATAACCAACATGACGGAAAGAGACTTCGAAAAGTGTAAAGTGATACAACAAGGAACAAACGAAAATAGATGAGCATGCAAAAAAAAACTTGTCTAAGAACGAGACCGGAACATCATATCTGCCGTCGTAGGTAGTACAGGCATAAATGGAAACAGTCCCTCTTTGATCTCTATGTACAGTGTACAAATTTGGCGTTTATTTCTTGACCTTGTCAGGGTCCTCGAGGATGCCCTCAGCTTCCAGTCTCCGTCGGGCCTCTTCGAGTGCCCATGTTTGTATACTATCGCAATTGTCAGTATTTCAGTTGTGCGGGGGGCATAAACGCCAATACTCAAGCGCTACGTCGGGATATGGACTGTACGTACGAAGTATCAGGCTTGAAAACGTATGCAACACCAGCGACCACAAAGCTTCCAATGAATCCGTAGTACCAGATGTTCTCCCAGCCTTCCTTCACGTACTTCTGGCCGGGCCTGATACCGAACAGCCAGCCGGTGGGAGGATCATAGTGGTCACCGTGGTCCGCGGCATAGAGGCTGGATCGAGTTGAGAATGCCTGGGTGCTCTGGGGCTGGCGAAGCAGGCAGCGCGCCCGGAGGATGTGCGACAATGGCCGGGCAGTCATCTTGAAGATGGGGGTGAAGGAGGGTTGGGGCCGATCGAAGGAACACTAGCGTGCGAGGAAATTGGTGAAAGTCACAAGGGTGAAAATATCCCCTTGAACTCAAGTGGCAATGACGGTCTCAATTGATATGTTGCCTCTTGTAGGAGAGTGGAGGGGTGCTTCGGCGGGTTGATGTTGAAGCCGTAAAAGGCCGGGAAGCTGTCCAGTTATCGCGCTAGTCTACTTTGGGCAATTTTCCTTGTCCGCCTTTACACCTGCCATTTCGGGCATAAATGCATTTCTGCCTTTGAAAATAGGTGTCAGCACTACACGCGACGCGTTCTTATCACATCTGGTCCTCTCCCTAGGCCGCCTACAGGGCGCTGGACTCGCCATTCGTTTCATCTTCCCATATGCACAAACATTCAAAGTAATTGAACCAGTAAATACTCTCTTTTAACTGGTACGTTTCATCTCGTGCCCCCAATTCATCCCCTTTCTGACATTGTCCTGCTCCAGCTTCGCGCGGAATGTATCCTTACCCATTCTGATCTCCGAACCGAAGCAATGGCAACAAACGATGCATACCCCATATCTTCAAATTCACGAACAAAATTGAACGCTTTTCGCTTCCAAGAAGGGGAAACACCCGACGACACTTGGAAAGACGAGACGAAATCAGTTAATGGGAGCAAAGAACACAAAAGTTCGGGCTCCAACGGCGCAGCAGGTGTGATGCAGGCATCATCTGACAAAGGATGCCCTCCGCCTTGCGAAGCACAAACAACGGAACCCCCAGTACAAGAATCAAAGCCGATTAAAGAATGCCCTCAGACGCCGGGAAACAGGATACCTCTAGCGGACTTGATCAGCAACGCTGAGGATTCGTTTGATCCCGCGCCAGGCCCGGAGGTGACCCCTGTCGAGCACGTCATCTGGCAGCATGTGCCTGCCAGCTCCAATCCAGACACCTCGTCCCAGACACCAGCGGGTCGTCGCAGGAAGCGCCGGCACAGTTCTTCGCCTGCTGGCTCTCCATCAAACGGGAATAAGAAAAAGGCGCAAAAAGAAGCCCTTGACCTTCATTCAATACAAGCCCTCTTCAAGACACCGCAGCATGATATGGCTGCTGAATTGTGGAACAACTACATGGATAAAAACATGGTTGATGGCCCGGATGATCTTCCACCGCCGCGGCTCGCAAATCTTCTTTCCTCCTCACCCCAGACACCAGGTTCCGGTAGAACAAGTCGAGACTCCTCGGGGCTGAGACGTGCGATTAGCTGCACCACCGATTTCCCCACCTCTCGGACAAAACGACGACGAGTCAATAGACTAGACTCTGGTCCCAATCGCGGCATGTTTCAACGAACTAGCAGCAATGTGGAATCTGGGAAGCCTAAGTCCTCAAGGGTCAACTATCTTATGGAGAAGATTGAGAAAAGTATACACATGGCCCCTGCCGATGCGGGTCCACCTGGATCGTCGCCTCTACGCCAACATATGGATGCGCGACGGTGTCGATCGTCTTCACCCACGAAGGAGCATAGGCTTCATGAAGCTGACGAAGAAACCGCCGGATCCCCATCTGCACCGCTTGAGAAAGTAAGACCTGGGGAACTGCCTGTTCTGCAAGAGTCATCCTCCGAGTTCGGAGACGATGATCTTGATCAAGATCTAATAGACCTAGCTGATGCCTCAGAGGATCCTTTCATTGAGCTGACACATACATCTAATGAGTTTGCTTCTCTGGGGTCTTCTAGCTGGACTGCCCTTGCCGCAGAAAAGTCTCGTTCATGGCGGCCCAAAGAAAATTCAACACTCGACAGCAAACCTCCTATACCTCATAACGCTACTATTAACGAACCAAAACGTGATGAATTCGATGAATTCGAAGATGAATATGATGATCTTCCCGACAATTTGCAGGAAATACTTGCAAAATGCGACGCAAAGCCCGCTCAGGTCAATCCATTAAAGCCAACTACCACTAGACCATCTTTACAGAGGTCAAGTGCAATGAGTGCCCCGGTAAATGGCAGTATGCATAGCAAACCCCCAACCGATGCACCTGTCAAAGCTGAGGTGGTGTCATCGGATGATGAGTTTGATGATGATTTTGATCTGGAGGCCATTGAGCAAACTATGAAGCAAGCAGGTGAAGGAGGACCGGCCTATGTTAGTCACTCTTAGTGGGTTAATCTTTAAATACATGCTAAGACAGTCAAAACAAATAGAACCTAAAAGGTCGACAAGCGATCAAACGTTACCAAATCGTTGACATCACGAAGAGCACATATGTTACTGCGAAAGGACGTACTCAGCCAGAGCAGGTCAGATATCTTGCCCTTGCCCCGGATATAGCCCTGCCCGCTGACTTTAAGTATAGGGTTTGCTAGTTGAAGACGAGAAAACCCGAGACCGCAAGGTTATCATCTTGCGAGAGTCATGGTTTGACACCCCCTGCAGCAAGGACTCGTATATCCACCTGGTCGGAGACTTCAATGCAGCCGGCCAATGCGTTGTGGATAATTCGAACCACATGATCATTCTTCACCCCGACCATCTCATTTCTGCTACGGTCGTAGCAGACTCGATAGACTGCCAGCGACGAGCCGTCCTTCAAGATCGAGTCAAAGTCATTGGCGCACTCGAGCGACCGCAAGCCTTCGGAGTCTTTTTCCACGAAGTTTTCCAAGAAGCCCTCAAAGCGAACCAATGGGATATGGAGTCGTTGAAGACACTGGTCGAAGCCGTCATGGGCAGACACATTGAAGAGCTGTACTCGATTCAAATGAGTATCCCTGAAGCTGTTGAATATCTCATGAGCAGGATGCCTGCTGTTCTGGACTGGGCAGATGCTTTCCTGCATCTCAAACCACAGGTATGTCTCATGCTCAAAGAGGCTTCTTTCGGCTAATAAGCCTTGCTAATAAACATCGATAGGCCAAGTCTATGGTTGAAGACCGCAACAGTTCTAAGCTTAACTTGAGTATCAACAAACTGCTTGAGGTAGAGGAACACATCTGGTCCCCAATGTATGGCCTCAAAGGCAACATTGATGCGACAGTACAAGTCACTTGTCGCGAAGATAAAATGGAGAAAAACCTAGTGGTTCCGCTGGAGCTCAAGACTGGACGAAGGGATACAAACCAGTCACATAGGGCCCAAACAGCCCTTTACACTCTACTTCTGTCGGATCGCTACGGTAAGTGCCGACATGTTCTCTCGATACCCCGGTCCTCTTTCAGGTAGTTGGCTAGTTGCTAAAAATCGTTGCAGATATCGACGTCACATTTGGGCTTCTCTACTACCTCGAGTTAACAAAAACTCTCAGTATCCGTGGTATCCGACACGAACTGCTTCAGATGATTCAGGTGCGCAATCACCTTGCTGGCTATATTCGCGAAAGGCAGCAACTTCCACCGATGTTGAAGAAAGCTCGTCAGTGTATTCGATGCTATGCCAAGACGCCTTGCCTCATTTATCACAAGCTCTCCGAGGATGGCGATGGCGAGACCAGCGCACTTGGCGAGGATTTTGATGCAGCTGTCGGTCATCTGAACGACGGTGATCGGGACTTCTTTCGTAAGTGGGATGAACTTCTGACCAAAGAAGAAGGAAATCTCGTGAAGTTCCGGCGAGAACTTTGGACATTGCTGAGCAGCGAGCGAGAAGCTCTGGGCCGATGCTTCGGGGATGTCGTTATCGATCCGACTTCTGTGTATGAGGAGAACACTGGAGCAAAGATAAACCGCTACAATTATACGTTTGTCAAAAGACAAGCGTCTCCTGGTTTCTCATTTGCTGAATCTCAAATATCTGTCGGTGAACCGATTGTAATTTCGGATGAAAATGGCCATTTTGCTCTCGCCAACGGATACGTGGTGCATACTAGTTCGTCACACATCAAGGTCGGCGTGGACCGAAAACTTCACAATGCACGATCAAAGTCCGCTGGCTTCGATGCAGTCACAAATCAGTCTTTCAAGGGAATCATGGAAATCGGGAAAGCAGAGCCTGCTGCTCTGGAAGACCCAGGTGAACAGCTCGTTTACCGGATCGACAAAGATGAGTTTAGCAACGGCATGGCTATTGTTCGAAATAACCTCATCTGTATGATGGATAAAGACTTGTTCCAAGCGAGGCAGCTTCGACGGCTCATTGTTGATGGGGAAACGCCTACCTTCAAGACCACATCGTCTTCGTACACGATCTCCGATTCTGGCAACCTCAACGTTGATCAAAGACAAGCCATTAACAAAGTGATGAGTGCCAAAGACTATGCTCTTGTCCTTGGAATGCCTGGGACTGGAAAAACCACAACGATTGCCCATATTATTAGGGCCCTTGTCGCACAAGGCAAGAGTGTTCTTCTTACATCTTACACCCATACTGCAGTGGACAATATTCTGCTGAAGATTCGGGACGACAACATTCGTGTGTTGCGTATAGGTGCGACCGCCAAAATTCATCCAGATGTTCAGGAATTTGCCGATCTTGCCGCAATCCCGAAATCAACCATTGAAGAACTCAAGGATTCATACGAAATGCCGCAGGTCGTTGCTACTACATGCCTCGGAGTCAACCATAATATCTTCAACCAACGCATCTTTGACTATTGTATTGTCGATGAGGCGTCACAGATCACGCTCCCGGTCTGCCTCGGTCCGATTCGTATGGCAAGGACTTTCATTCTGGTCGGCGATCACTATCAATTGCCGCCGCTTGTGCAGAATAAAGCCGCCCAGGAAGGAGGACTTGATGTCAGTCTCTTCAAACTGCTCTCGGATGCACAACCAAATTCAGTGGTCAACCTAGAGCACCAGTACCGCATGTGTGAGGAGATAATGTCACTTTCCAACACACTGATCTACTCGGGCCGTCTCAAATGCGGTACACCGCAGGTAGCAGCCCGATCTTTGGTTATACCCAACATCAACGCCCTCGCGAAATTCCATGTCGAGGACTTCAGCCATGCTCCGTCACAATCCCAACCAGAAATATGCCCGGGTACCCCCAGCAGCCCCTGCTGGCTCCAAGACCTACTCACACCATCTGCAAAAACGTGCCTGGTCAACACCGATCCCATCGGCCCTGCAGCCCTCGAGATAGCACAGGGAAATCGTGTCGTGAATCACATGGAAGTTTTCCTCTGCACGCAGCTTGTGGAGTCATTCATTGCCTGTGGTATTCCCGCGCGCAACATTGGCGTGATCACTTTTTACCGCAGTCAACTCTCGCTCCTTCGCCAGAGCATGCGACGTTACACCCCGGAGCTGGAAATGCACACTACAGACAAGTTCCAAGGCCGCGACAAAGAGGTCATTATCCTGAGCTGCGTCCGTAGTAACGCCGAAAACAACGTTGGTGAGCTCCTACGTGACTGGCGTCGTGTCAACGTCGCCTTCACCCGCGCACAAACCAAGCTCCTTGTTGTCGGTAGTAGATCCACTCTCCGTGATGGCAACGAGCTCCTCTGCAAATACGTGCGGCTGGTAGAAAGCAAAGGCTGGGTTTATAACTTGCCCAATGGAGCGATACACAAGCATTTCTTCCCTTCTTGTGCCACACAGTCGCAGTTCATGTCTCCGGGTGCCGCCTCGACTCCTGGCTCCGCCAAGGGCAAAGGTAAAGGCAAGAACAACCCACCTCGTTCTTCCCGTGAGCCGTTGAGCCCACTGAGTTCCCGACAAGCAGCACCTGGCCTTCGGAAGCCTTCAAAGACGGGTGCAAAGGTGTTCAACGGCACGAATGTGGTTGGGAATCGGCCCATCTTACGAGACATAGTGAATGACCTGATGGGCTAGCATACCATGTTTCAACTAAGGTCTTTGTTTCTATTCTTCGAGTACAGATCGAGTGTTCTGTTTCATTTTCTTACGCGACTTGGCGCGCTGGTACGGCCATTCGTCTTACATGTGTAATATTTTGGGCTTGGCGAATGCATGAGCACCCTATATGTTCTAATTTCAATTAGCACTGCAGCCTGTTGGTTATTGGCTGTGAAATGTTACAATGGGATTTGGTTTCTTTCATTGCAGAGCACCGTAGTCTTCAAACAATCAATACGCAAGATGCTCGATATTCAGCTTCTCAATTACGAGAATCTACAGTAGGAATTGATGAAAGAACAAATTGTATTCAAGTAGGCTACAATCCATGTGTACCTACTGCAACGTCCTGATCAGAAACCTCCTCATGAAAAATCCCCCTTCGAAATTTGAAATACACATTCACAAGAGCAAAGACCTTCTCGACATCCTCCGCCATTTCTCCTTCTCAACAACCTCATTCTTCCATCATGATCTTTCGAAAAAAAAAAGTATTCAAATTCACCACTGTGCCAGACAAACACCTTATCTGCCCGATTTTACTCTGAGACTCTTGCCTTTTTCGCCTGGTGTCCGTTCAAGTAGGTTCGATCTCCATTAGGGCTAAGACCCCACCGGGGATGGTTTTTTGGGTTGGCCACAAAGTCGGTAGGCACAATGTTCTCCATAAACTGAAAGGTTCTCTTGGTGGGTGAGGCGGCAGAAAGGGAAGAAACAGACTGCATGCGCTCCTTTGGCGGGGTGGAATAAACTGCTCCCTTTTGCTGGGTGGGCTGTTGAACTCGCTGAGCCGCTGAAGCTTGGAGTTGCTGAGTTTGTTGCATCACAGACTGCATGCGCTCCTTGGTAGGGGTAGGATAAACTGCCCGAGATTGCTGGGTTTGTGGCATCACAGACTGCGCACGCTGCTTAGGAGGGGTGGAATAAACTGCTTGCATTTGCTGGCTGGGCTGCGGAGCTGCTGAAGCTTGAAGTTGCTGGGTCTGTTGCATCACAGACAGCATGCGCTCCTTGGGAGGGGTAGGATAAACTGCTTGCATTTGTTGGGTGGGCTGATGAGCTTGCTGAGCTGCTGGGGCTTGAAGTTGCTGGGTTTGCGGCATCACAGACTGCGCACGCTGCTTGGGAGGGGTGGAATAAGCTGCTTGCATTTGCTGGCTGGGCTGCTGAGCTGCTGAAGCTTGAAGTTGCTGGGTCTGTTGCATCACAGACAACATGTGCTCCTTGGTAGGGGTGGGATAAACTGCTTGTATTTGTTGGGTGGGCTGCTGAGCTTGCTGGATCGCTGCAGTTTGGAATTGCTGGGTTTGTGGCATGACAGATTGCATGCGCCCTTGGATAGGAGTAGAATAAGGTGCTTGCATTTGATGGGCGGGCTGTTGAGCTTGCTGAGTCGTTGCAGTTTGGAATTGCTGGGTTTGTTGCATTGCATGCTGATGCTGATGCTGTTGCTGGTATTGCTGGTACCGGTATTGACGGACTTGCTGTTTGTGCTGATCGATCTTTTGTTGAAACATTTTAAACTGCTGGTGGTGGATCTGACACTGTCGTCGGTGGATCTGGAGCTGCTGTTCATCCCCGGGCTGCTGTCGTTTCAGATGAGATCTTTGTTGCCGAAGGTGCTGCCATTCAATGCGAAGATACTGCTCTTGGCTTCGAAGACGTTCTTGGATTTGAAGGTGCTGCTGTTGAGTGGGATGGGCCGCTGTCTTGTTGGTGGCCCCGGACACTGGGATCATCGGGGTAGGGACACAAGTCATTGGAGCAGGCATTGATGTCATTGGAGCAGGCGCAATCTTCGGAAGAGGTTGTGTGATTGGGGCTAGAGTTGTCTTGCCCTTCGTCTTGCGTGTGGTGCTTTGCGCCTTTGCCTTCTTCTGTGTTTTGTGTAGCTCGTCATTTTGCTTCTTCTTCTTCTTGGGGGCCCGCTTGTCTTTCCGTTTGGGTGGTCGCTTAGCAAGTTGAGGGCGCGATTTGGCTTGTGGCAAGGTAATCACCTTGACCGTACCAGGTGCCAAACCGGACGTGGCAGTAGAGACTTGGACGTCTGGGTCAATGATGACTGGGTCAACGATGGCCGGGGCAACGTTGGTGACTGGAGCATCAGTGGCGGGAGTGAGTTGAACAACTGCAAGGGGAGGACCCAGGTCGGCGTTTTTGAGAGACACGAGGGTATCCAGCGGATAGACTGTGCTAGGCTGGTTGGCGCAAGTGCTCTGTGTGGTCACATCATCAGCCACGATGGGAGCAGGCAATTCAGGGCCAAGCTCCAGGTGATCCTCAGTCGCTGGGCCAATGACAGGGTCTACACCGAGTTCACAAAAGGCCTCGTCGAAAGTCGAGCCGGCAAACTGGTCGTTCTTTCCTTCGAAGCGATATCCTAGGAGCACAGGTTAGTTTGGTCAGAAAGCCCTAAATCAAGAGATATAATTACCATTGGTACGGGCAAGTTCCCAGAGGGACATGCAGGAACCATCATCGCGGAAAATTGACTCGGGTACTTCCCATTCGTCAAGACCCAAGAGAGCCTTGGATGGATCTTCATCATAGGACACCTCGGCAAGGGCGTCGAGAAAGTATTGGGTAGGTTCCTCCATAACGAATGATAGGACAATTGTGGAAGTACAGGTAAAGTGGGTCAGTGTGTAGAAAAGGAATTGGAAAACATGAATGAAGTCTGTCAATTGCTGTGGAACGAGCAAAGACTAATAGCTAATAGCTAATTGTAATGAATGATAGTGAATGTATGTAGTGAATGTATGTAGTGAATGTGTGTAGGGAATGTGTGGGGAAGAAATGCAACGAGTATGGGGTAAAAAGGAGAGAGGAAGGAGGAAAGAGGAAGGAGGAAGGAGGAAAGAGGAAGGAAGAAAGAGGAAGGAAGAAAGAGGAAGGAACGGGACTGGGAGGTGTGTAAGGTGCAAAATCATAGAGGTGAAGCTCCTTATGGGGTAGGTCAAAGGGCAAGGGCTAGGTCAGGGTTCAGTCACTGATGCTCCCATCAACTCCCAACATAAAGTCATTCGACCACCCGGTCCAGTGGTTCCCTCGCCGTTCACCTGGGATTGTTCAGGAAGGACCATAACCATAAATCCGTCCCTTCCTTCCACGGCTTCTTTTCCCAGAGCAGCGACGGAAAGCGCGAACCAAGATAGATTACTAACCTTGGTTTGCCTGGACAATGTCAGTTCCCAACCATAATTTGGTATCTCGGAGACTTACAGTAGATTGAGGAACAGCTGCATGATCCACCGGGACGATATCAAACCATGCCATTTTAAGCTCATCAAATCAGCGGCCTCGGGGGCCTGGATTTCATCTGCGTCTGGAACTGCATAACGACTCAGGTATGGATCGACGTCATCTTCCCCAGACACTCGCGGAGAAGCCATCTGAACCATGGCAATCCATTCGGACAGGGCGCCACAATGTTCCTGCAGATCACCTTCCAACATTTTTTCCAGTACCCCGTATTTGTAAAACGGCGGAATAATTATTTTCTCGTGATCAATTGCCTGTGGCTCGCAGGTTATCAACTGTGGTTGAACCTTGTTGATCGGCATGTTTCCTGCTCTTACTGTGAGTATATTACTGGTATTCCTTTTTTTAAGGGTTCGAAAGCATACTCACCGTCATCCGGACCCGGCTTACTTTCCAGGTCGTGAAAGAGCCAGGCCATTGATTGAGTCAGAACATTGGTGAATGCCCAGACAATTCTTTCGAAGCCTTTTTTGCCATGTAGCATCGAGGGCAGTCGCAAGTTCAGTTCTACCACTGACGACATGATTAACAAACATTCAATCAACCCATTTGCTCTGGTCGTACACACAGAATCTTTCCTTTGCATGTTTTCTGCCGCCGCTGCGGAAAGGCTTGCCAGTGAGACCTGTTCGCTCATAGATCTCCTTTCCTAGTTCCATTCTAAGTACACCTGTTTTGATTTGAGTCAACTTTCGATTCCGCAACAGCAATACTCTTCCAACCGCAACTTCGGGAGAACGAACCATCTTGGAGTGTGAAGACATTATCGGAACCCGAGCGGCCTTCGGAAATCATCAAAATATTCCCTATGTCCCAAGTTAGATTGCCGTCTTTGATGAAATGGATTCACCGGGCACAAAAGCTGTCTGGTGCTTGTGCAATTGATGGCCACCCAAATATGGAAGAACTTTTGGACTGAACTGGTGGAGGCACAATTACCTGACTTGATATATGTATTGAAGAAATCATGCTCAAGCAGAGCTAAAGGAGCCATGAAGACTCGTGCATATCGAGGTTTTTCCAGTTTAGTCTCGAGCGACGGCTTGATCTGTGAGTAAAGCTCCTTTGGCAGAATAACCTCGGCCTATATCCAATGATCAGTCAAATGGCCTTTCATCTCTCAGATCAAGACACAGGCCACCTACTGAGTGTACGAATGCATGATTTTGAATCGTCGAAAAGGGCGATCTCTTGCCCGGTATCTGCTTTGGGTCGATGAACGCCGGCAGTTGAGCGACTGTTGTGAAACACTTTTCACGACGCGATGCGTCATCCACTTCTTCAAACATGTTGTCTCTGATAGCCTTCGAAGTGCTGCTTAACGTTGACAATCACAGCTCTTGAGATCCAAAGGGTTAAATTTTCAGCCGAAGGGTGAGGTTCGATTAAGCTCGGGCTTATCGGACCCATAAGGCTGCAGCTATCAAACGTTCCACATTCCAATAGTGACTTGGAATTTGGGGTATTTTAACAACATAGGTAACCATATAGGGATATTATACAGACTATATATATTGAGTCTAAATGGGATATGTATATGAAATCAAAACATAGGATATCAACAGAATATCAACAGCCTCAATATTGTAATGAGTACAATGACTCAACCTAGTCTTGCACTTGTATCAATTCAAGAGATATTTCAAAGTTGAACATAGAGCTCAGTTTCACTTATTATGTATTGAAATTTGCTTCAACGACTCTAATGTTTTATTATGTGTATTATTTGACCATGAATTTACTATAGAGCAAACAAATCACACTGTCAATTAGAACTTGACGCATCGCAACAGTGCCTATGCCATACAACATAGAGCTCTAAAAAAAATTGCAAGGTGTGTAGATTAATTCAAATTAATTCAAATTAATTAAAATGTGTATATGTATTTTAACCTAATCAATTATGTCTATGGTGTGGTTCCTGGTGGTGTTTGTTGATATGTAATGATGTAGAACGCATTTCAATGTTCTTCCTTACAGGTGAGCCAAATATGTACAAAGCTCACTAACCTATTACCTATTGCTTCCTTCTATCCCGATTTTTCCTCAATATTCTGGCGATTGGAGCGCAAGTTGAGACGCAAAATCCAAATCCAATACCGTAGGTAGGAAAAGTGGGCGCCTGAGGCGACAACCGTGATGGCAACACCCGATAAGGATTCACTGGCAGTATCGTGCTGTCCAAAGGCGGTATCTGAGCACTCTCCAATTCCGACCGTCCATCGTTCTTCGAATAGCATCGAGCCTAAGCTGCTAGGTCCTATCGATTCTACTTCTACTTCTACTACTGGTTCGAATGCAGTTGAACCTCCAGCCTCGCGCCAATTGCTAGAGGTGGAAGACGAAGAGATGGCGCCCGCTTCGCGTCGCGAGCTCCTACACAAGGATCATTTCTCATTCGTGTTTGATAATGTGAAGACTCAAAACTACTTAGATCCTGTTTCTAAGGGACCAGGCTCTCATACGTAAGTCTGGCTTTTGCGCCAGTGGCTGTTGTAATTTTACTGACAAGGGTCTGGAACCACAGGATCCGCACGCTTGCTTGGAACCCCACGGGCCAGCTGATTGCCACTGGCTCAGCAGATCGCACTCTACGAATCTGGAACCCGGAACGTCCTCATGTACGATACTCTACCGAATTGCGTGGTCACACAGCTGGTATCGAGAAGGCTCTTTTCAACCCAGTCCGCGATGCGGAGCTGGCAAGTTGCTCGGCCGATGGTACAGTGCGCTTCTGGGATGTGCGCTCCAAGACATGTGTGAGCCGTCTCGATGTTGGCGGCGAAGCATTTACACTCTCCTGGTCTGCTGACGGCAGCACAATGATCATCGGCAAGAAGGTAATCATGCCGCGCTGCGACTCCGCAGGCTTGGTCTCTCTCGTGATAAAGTTACTAACATGTGACATGTAAACAGGACGACACTTTAATCCCTGTCTCTGTTCAATTCCCCTCCACTCCTACCGCCCACCCTGATGGCGTGAATGCTCTCAATCTCCCCTCCTCTACATCCGGCGCAACCACTTACACAGCTCTCGACCCTCACCCTCAGACCGTCCAAACAAATGCGACAACCTTCTCCTGGTGCATGCCGACACCCGAACGTCCAGAACAGCATGTATTTGTGACGACTGGCGAAGGAAAGGTCAAAATCATGTCCTACCCTTCCTTCGATATTATGCACACCCTCAACGCCCACACCTCAGCCTGCCTTTCTATTGCGCTTGCCCCAACAGGCCGATACCTCGCAGTTGGCGGGAGCGACGCTCTCATCTCACTCTGGGACACAACCGACTGGATCTGCCGTCGCACTTTGTCTAGCGAGAATGGTGGTGCTATTCGCGGCGTAAGCTGGAGCTTCGATGGTCGCTACATTGTTGGCGCATGCGACGAGCTTGGGTGTGGTGGGAATGGACTGGAGATCTTCCATGCCGAGTCTGGTGATAATGTTTACACAATTCCTACTGCTGGCATCAATGCTGGTGTTTCTGCTGTTGCGTGGCATCCCTCTCGCTACTGGCTGGCCTACTCGACTACCACTGATGGACCTGGTAGCTCCAGCGCTGGAGGCTTGAAGATTGTCGGTGCTGCTGGTGGTGGCCTGTAATCTCGAGCATTATGTTATCCTTCTTCTTCTTCGGCAAGCTTTTTTATTCTTTTGCTCTAACCTGATGTAGATTATTGTCAGAAATTATCATGAATGGACGTATTTGAAAAAATATTAAATGTAAGATCAAATGGATTTCTTAGCATTTTGATGTAATATTGTAGTGATTGGTTATTAACATGGAATTGACAGGTCCCAAATACTCCGATTTCAACCGTATGAGTGAAGAGTTCCGCCCCCAAAAAAAGACCGTTCATTCGTTCGTCATCAAATCATTCAACAGCAGAGGTTAATGGATGATTCTCCACTGCCATTTTACTCGAACATTGTAGCAAGACAATTGTAAAGGGATTGCAGCTCCGCAGTTGGTAAACCAACCTCGGGAAAAGAAGGCACTCAATCCAAGGATATCGTAATAAGTGACCTTAATATTTGTGGAAATAGGAGACCAATGCCTCACGTATTTCAATCTCAGCCGGGGGTGGGGGAGGGAAAACGAAAGCAAAAGAGAAGTATCCAATAGGATGACAACCTGCTTCGAGTCGCATGTGAGATCCCCGACCAGGATTGATAAAGGTCCCGATGGGTCGTCCTAGTTAGTGAGAGCCTAGAATATCGGATTTTGAGCAGGTCGAGGGAACACAAAGCCCAGCGCCGAATGTCGTCCGTACGGTGGCAACACGAGAGATATCATTGTTGCAACAATCCCAACCTTGATGAGTTGTTGACATCGGAGACCATCCAACCAAGGCCCTTTCACAGGAAATTATATTCCCCCACGTGCTGTTCTCACGATGGCCGCCAATTCTGCCAGCCGGCGCTGGTCCCATTTTCACCCTGGATTTGAGTATTCAGCAGTTGAGCCCATTGAGATTCACTGAAAGTATCCATATTTAGATTTCCAAAGTCCCCATTGCCAGTTTCTGGATTTGGGGTGGGAAGGTCCCACGCAGAGGGCACTGAAAAGATTCCCGACGCTCCTGTGGGAAGTGTCGGGCTATCAGAGCTGCTTGGATAAAACCGACCAGTCATAGAACCCAAATCAGTGGCTTGCGGGTTTCCTCGTGGCATCATGTTTGGATTGGCCTTATCAAAGGATGGGGCTGACCCTTGACTCGGATATACCGGGTTCGTCTTTTGATGCTTGTTTCCGGGTGATGGGTCGTCGGCACCGTTGATTGAATAGGAAGTGTTGGAGGATGAATTCAAGGTTGAGGGGGTGGGATGGTCTGATGGTGGGTTATTTCTATCGCTGAGGTTGCCGAAATCAGGTGGGAAATCCATGTCCATATCGATAATGGCCCCTGGTGGTGGTCCGGCTTGGTCCATGTTTGGAGCTGTCGCCCGAGTGGAAGTTCCCGAAAAATGAAACATGTCCTCGCCATTAAATTCTGATCCTACGTTGGGCTGTGTTGTTGAGTCCCTGCTCCGGCTAGGGAGGGACGTCGTCAAACCGGCAGGCAGAGGCTGTTTATTGCCACTGCTATTGGTACTGTATTGAGGAGACTCATTATTCGCAGTCCCCTGTGTTTGGCGGACATTGTACATAGGAGATTCGACATTTTCGTGGCAATATGATTGCTAGATAAAATGAGATTAGCTTCGAATGGTCCTTGGGGGACAAGCCAGGGAAACATACTACTATCGTATGTGCAGCACGCATGTTATTTTTCTGTCTATCGTCCAAAGCGCGAATACCAGTTCCATCAAGATCCACATCCAATTGAATAAGAAAGGACTCGGTCAGAGGGTTTTTGTTTTTCATGGCGTTCAGAGCGGAGACGAGAAATTTCAATGAGGACTGGACACTCGAATCCTCTGGTCGGGATTTGAGATACTGCACAAAGACACGAGCAGCAATATAAAGACAAAATGACGTGAAAGGATTTAGCTGTAAGATGTTAGAACAGAAGATCTGGGCAAGAAAGCTCAATAGAAACTCACGTTCGTCAAATCAACGTGGCTGATCATCTTCATGGTACTCGAAATCTGGTTCGCGGCGACAAGGCATCTGCGCTTGCTCTCGGTCGTAATCTGATTCGGCATCTTGTTCTTTTCGGCCTTGAATATTGCCGCTTGGTGAAGACATATGGTTGAAGTATGGATGCTCATGTTGGCGAAAATGACGTTCACGTCCGACATACCACTTGGGAGTCGGAGATGATCAGGCAACGATAGCGAAATATGCAAAAGAATATTATCATGGCTTCTGTGGCGCTTCCAAAACTCCCCATTGAGGTCATGATCGTTGTCTTGGGGCTGAGGCCGATGGATGTGTACGAGGTTACGACCGAAAAGGCTTGCCAAAACCACCACGCATGCAAAAGGGGCTAGTGTAGAAACACCATCTCCAGTGATGATATCGTTCAGATGAAGTGTTCGTTGTGGCTTGCTCTTGGTAAAAGATTCTTCGGATGCGGGGAGGTTGGTCCTGATCTGATTATTGTAAGCCTACCACTCTCTACGCCATGAAGAGGGTTTAGAGAAGAGATACTGACATCGTTCTCATCAATAAGAATGGGCCAACCGGTTCCAACACTCGAATATCTATCTGCGGCAAATGCGCCCCAGAAGACTCTCCTGCGTTCTTCGCGCTCTGTCCAATCTTTCGGTGGTAAAATGGATTGTTTCACGTCGATACCAACACCATCAAGCCGATTCAATCCCAGCATCAGTGCTAGCCTTGCAGCTTTACCAACGCTCAGCCAGGCTCGTGGGAAGAAGATCATTCGGAATTCATATATGCCGATAAATATCCATGTTTGGCAATGTGCTAAACTGACGATGTTCTCTCCGAATCCTTTCATTTCGTCCATCTCAGCATATTTGCGTGCCCGCTGGTAGAAATGATTATGCAAAAAGAAGTACTTGTCACTGACGGATGCGGCATTGGACCATATAATGTATCGCAGGCAAATAGGCGGTCGCATATTAGGGGCGAGAGTCAGGGCTGCAAAGTAACGTGGGCGGTGGATGATGGGCATCGTTGGATAGATTTTCTCAAAGAATATAGCTTCCCTGTACGGCACCACTGTATTAGAGACTAATTCAAGCAGAAAGCCGAGCGAAACACGTACAGTTCATCAATCACGTCCTGTGAAGGAAGGGGCTCCTCCAGTCCTAAACTGATCAAGTCCCATTGAGGATTGCCGCCACCCTGAGTGGTGGGTAGCGGAGGATATGACATTTGACTTGGCTGGCCTGCGCCAGCCAAAGATGAGAACGAGTTATCCATGTTACCTCCAATGCCTCCCAGCCCTCCTAGGACCGAGAGGTCAGGCAAATCCAGTATAGATTCATCGGCGATGGGGGCTGTGAATGCATTCTCCAATGGTTGGGGTGGGGAGGTTCGTTGGATGGGTTCCGGATCCTGGCCTTTGAGAAGAGTCTCTACTTGAGCTGATACAATCATGATCATTAGCATACGGCTCGCTGTCAACATAGCATTTGTAATCATGTTCTCAACGAGTTCGTACCTAATCGCGCTTCAAGCTGCTTGACATATCCTCGTTTTGGACCACTTTTCTTGCGCACTTCATCGTAAGAGCATTCATGTCCCAGGCGTGAACAAGTCCCACAGCTCGGCCGTCTCCCATCGCACCTTAGTTTCCTCCTCCGACAGACGACACATGCGATGCGCTTGGGGCGGGGAACGAAGTTGCCTTCTCCGGTGCTAGTGCTTTCGGTAGCGGCGCCACTTTCAGCGCGCATGAATTCCATTTGAGACGGGTCGGATTCTGCGGAATATTGCGACGATTCGGGTCCAAAATTGGACGGCGGAAGTGCCGCCATAGCGGGCTTGATTGTAGATGATGTTACCCGTGATGCAACGGCTGAGTAATTCGAGTGGATGAATTAATGGCCAAGTCTAGTTTGTCCGCGCGCGAAACTTTTTGGCAGAATGGCGCGTATAGGATAAACCTGAGGCGTCAACAAGCCAGGAACACTCAAGTGTTCACCAGATACGCTGAGATGGGGATGTGAAAAGAAAGTTCTATGGATGACGGAAGTTCGTATCAGGAGAGGCCGAGTGTCCCTCCACCCCAACTTGTATGAAGAGCTAGATCAAAGAACCCCTATTTTTCATTTCGATGGGATTCTAATGAGATCTATGGGGAAAGCTTGAATCACTATTCTAATATTCTAGTCCCCTGCAAGAGTGTTGATAAGTGCACTCAGACATAGAGGGCCACGCACCAACGAGGTTGCCTGGAGGCTTGGCACCCATCGACAAGACATATACGAATATCGACTGCAGAGAGTTTAAACCATTACTATCGGTACGACTTTATAAGTCTATTTTCTTTCGCTTTGAATGTATATAGCTTCGAGCCATCGTACTGTACAGTGCCCATTGCCCGAGTTTCAGTCAGATGGCAGATGCGCAAAACAAGTCCCCAAATAGCGTGTGGTAGAAGAAACCATGAGACGTTTAATGTGTCAAAAAACAAGAGAAGATATCGTACAGTCATCCCCTGTGTGGTAGGGATGAGGTATAGGGTGAGGAGGTACAGATGGTTCAGAGACAAAACATAGTGAAATGGCCACTTCGGCAAAGTAGCGTCATCTCTAGTTGTATCCACGACGGCGCTTTCCTTGGTTGCGAGGTCTGGCGTGAACAACAGCCTTGTTGATCTTCCACTTCGGGCGGGTCTTGTACCCGGATTTGGTCTGGAGGTGAAAACGAAGAGTCAGTCCCATGGAAATTCAGAAGGTGAAAAACAAAAGGAAATACATACCGGAATACCCCAAGGACTTTTCGGGTCCACATTACCCTTGGACTTTCCTCGTCCACCACCGTGAGGATGGTCCATGGCGTTCATGGCCAAACCACGCACGGTCGGACGAATATTGAGCCAACGCGAGCGACCAGCCTTTCCGAGCTGAGTGTATTGGTAGTTCGGGTTGCTGGTGATACCAACGGTAGCGCAGCAGTCCTTGTGAATGAGCCGAGTCTCACCACTTGAGAGACGGACAGTAATGTGCTGGGCCAGACGCTCCTGCTTCTGCTGCTCACGCTGCGACAAGGGCTTCTTTTCAACCTCGGGCTGTTCGTCTTGAATCGTTTGCTGGCGCGAGTCACTTCCCTTGGCCACAACGGTAGCATAAGTTCCAGCACTTCGACACAGTTGCCCACCCTTCCCGGGTCGCAATCCCACGTTGAAAACCAATGTTCCCACCGGAACCATGTGCAACGGTAGACAGTTTCCTCTCCAGGCGGTTCTGGCCGCGAGCACACCGGGATCAACAGCGCTGCCCATGCTCTTCCACAAATCTTCAGGAATTCCGGACATATAACTCTGGACCACGTCGCCGGCGCGCATTCCATCCGCCGCGAGAATGTAGCTCAACTTGCCAGTCTCCTTACTAGCAGTCAAGGCGATGTGTGCAGTGCGCCCAGGATCATACTCGATACGCTCCACTGTGTGCGGCCCCGGAGCCATGCGCAGGAAATCAATTGTCCGAATTCGACGCTTGGCACCACCTCCATGATGGCGGACAGTGACTCGGCCAGAGTTGTTTCGACCACCCTTGGCGTGGCCACGCTTAGGGAACGTTAATTTGTGCACTGGACGACCTTTCCACAGATGGTCATTCACAGGACGCCGCAGATGTCTCACACCGGGGGTGCGCGGAGTGTAGGTGCGCAGCTGAATGCCAGCAGAATCGCGGCCGGGGGGAGGAGCGAATGAGACGTTCGGGTCGATAAAAGTGTTGACTGGTGTTTCAATAGACTTGGGCTTGTTCTTCTCAATCTCACTCATAACTGTCGAATAGCGACGAACCGGCAAAGGCAGAGAGGGTAGACACCTAAAGGGTAGCCGAATGCCCCGGAGGGCAATTCGGGGTTGGAGCATTGCTGCCAAAGGGGAGGGGAGGGAGGGGAAAGATGAGGTTTCAATGAATCAATTGAATAAAAGAGGGGTGGAAGCCAAATGCCAATGGAGCAGTCCAACAAAGACTCAACAGCTCCTCTCCTCTGCTTTGTAGATACGCACCTGACTCTCCACAGAAACAAAAAGTTCACTGAACACGTGACTTTACTCATGCACCGCCTCCACCGCCACACTCATCCGTGGCAGATTTGACATTATGTCAGATTTGATACACGTGATCATTTGTTACAAGGTTTGATACCTTATACAAAACCGAAACGTTGTCGTTGTCGGAGCAACCAGTTTATTTACTCATTGCCATACTCACGCGTATCTCCCTTCATTGCTGGATCTACTTTTCTCAACCTATCTCAACCTACTCCATATCCATTCCTTGATTCTATTCTGTTCTTCATTGCTCAACTCAATTCTTCATTTTACTAATTTTACAAAAAAAAAGGCTCGAACGTCAATTAAGTGATCCACGCGACTGGGCTGAGTGGGGCTGCTTGTTTTCCACGCTAAGCCACAGTACTAGGGCCAAACATCGCCTTTTGCCCTCAAGCTCTCTTCCTTTTCCCTCATCATTCCAGTTAAAGCTACCCTTCCATCTTCCCCCCCCCCACTCCCCTACTAACAGATTATCGCGTGTGGATTCCTGGTGTACAGTGTCCCCAAATCGTTTCTGTCTCATTTGACATCTTTTTTACCCAATTCGCGCGCCATTTGACCTTCGGAACTAGGGTTCTGCGCGGTCTTGATACACATCAACATAGTCTTGTTTGAGCCGTAATTATCGACTCATATCATCTCCGCCTGTCTGAAAACTACCTCTGCCTACTGGCATTGTAGTTTCTTCAGAACAACCGCATTTTCACGCGTGGTACGTGCACCTCCTCAGCCCTCTGGTATGAGGTCCCCACCGAGGCAATGTCGATTCCAAGGTTGGAATGCTGACCTGATTTCTTAAGCAGAACAAGAATCAATATATTCCTGTCCCCTTTATCCCCTTTCTACGCGTCGCTTTCCTTTTATTATCTTCACGATGCCTCAGGTGAGCAATCTTTAACTTTACCAAAACACGCGTTTCATATCCTGGTCACGGGATATCTGATCCATAGCCTCGAGATCTGGGTATACCCTATGACCTCACTGGACTCATCACTGACTCCACTACAGGCCCGCAGCCTTCGTACCAGAGGCACGATGAATGAGAACGATGAGAACGGTCCGTCAGCGCGTGTGACCCGGGCCAAAGCAGCCGCCCTGACCTCCGATGTTTCTGCCGCTGGAGCCAAGAAAACCCTGCAGACCAAGCGAACGGCGTCGACCACCACGGCTACCGGAACCCAACGTCCCCGTGCTGCCCTCGGCGATGTCAGCAATGTCAACAAGACGGAGGGTGCTGAGGCGAAAGCTGGGAAGAAACCGGTCGCTGCCAAGGCTGGCTTGACCTCAAAGGCAACTGTCCAGACTGGAGGTGTTCAGAAGCTCAGTCGCACCAACTCCTCACGAACTGCAACACGAACTGCCCTCCAACCCCGCGACTTGAACAAAAAACCCGCTACCAACGCCCACAAGCGTCCGTCGCCGAAGGACCCATCGGATGAGCCTCCCCGCAAGAAGCCCGAGCTTGGGCGAAAGACCGGGCCTATCGTGGAAGAACCAGAAGTGAAGGAGCCTGGAATTAGCGGGAAGGATCTGAATGACGCCGTGCAGGATCTGGACACTGAGGACTTAGATGACCCATTAATGGCTGCCGAATACGTGGTTGAAATCTTCGAGTATCTCAAGGACCTTGAGATCATAACTCTGCCCAACCCTGACTACATTGACCATCAGCCCGATCTTGAATGGAAGATGCGTGGGATCCTTGTCGACTGGCTTATCGAAGTGCACACCCGTTTCCGTCTCCTCCCTGAGACCCTGTTCCTTGCTGTCAACATCATCGATCGCTTCCTGTCAGCTGAAGTTGTCGCCCTTGATCGTCTTCAGCTGGTTGGTGTTACCGCCATGTTCATTGCCTCTAAGTATGAGGAAGTGCTCTCCCCTCACGTCGCCAACTTCAGCCATGTCGCCGATGAGACCTTCTCGGACAAGGAGATTCTCGATGCCGAACGCCACGTCCTTGCAACCCTCGAGTACAACATGAGCTTCCCCAATCCCATGAACTTCCTGCGACGTATCTCCAAGGCCGATAACTATGATATCCAAACCCGCACTCTGGGCAAGTACTTGATGGAGATCAGTCTCCTCGATCACCGCTTCATGGGCTTCCCCCAGAGCCATATCTCTGCTGCAGCCATGTACCTTGCACGTCTCATCCTCGAGCGTGGACCTTGGGTACGTTACATTCCATTTCGCTTGTTCGGACATCCTAACTAACCCATCATAGGATGCCACTCTCGCTCACTACGCCGGATACACTGAAGAGGAGATCGATCCCGTCTTCCAGTTGATGGTTGATTATCTCCACCGCCCTGTCTCCCACGAAGCCTTCTTTAAGAAATACGCCAGCAAGAAGTTCTTGAAGGGTAAGCATCATTAATAATTTCCTTGTCTCTCGAGATGACATGCTGACCAGTCTTCAAGCTTCTATCTTGACTCGCCAATGGGCCAAGAAATATCACCACCTTTACGTCGACGGCTCCGAGCAGAGCAGTTACGCCAAGGATGAACAGTAATTGTACCATTTACGATGTCATGCTACTCCTGTCTCGCCAACGTCGATGCCTTTCATGACTCCCTAGGGCCTTGCGACGACTTGAGCAGGGAAATCGAATTCCTACATATGTTGGCATTTCATTGTGCTGGTATTCACTTCACTACCTTTTGCATATTCTTACGACGACTTGATTGAATTTCTGTGCTTTCCGCATTTGTCTTCTGTGATGGGGTGTTCGGCGCTCGGCCCTGTGTGCTATTGTTTTCTTCCCTTACCCCTACATCTTCAACCTCGGCTTGCTTGTTCTCCGTGCATCAGCATCTGTCTCCCGCCTGCCTTGATATCTTTTACATTCTCGTCGATCGTGTTTCAGGCGTCGGATTCTGTTTTTCTCTTTCTTCAAATCGCAATTTTACCCTGTTTCACCCTAAGTCGCCTTTGTCTTAGGTTGGACGGTGCAGTGTTATCCTTTTTGGATCACTTTTTTTTGTTTATCATGCAAGTTCCGATGGCTTGCACGTTTGCGTGGCATTGCGGATTGGAAATCTTTTGTGAAGCCAAGGTGGCTATGGTTTTTTTTTTGTTTCTCGGGTGTTTCTCAATTCATCAGCTGGAAGATTCAATGCTACTCAAGCTGAGTCTTCCAGGCAAGCAAGATTGATATCTGATGGACGGTTGAGGTAATCGGTGACAAGTTGGACCGCTTTTGTTTTGTTCAAAATAGTTGGATTTCTAACACTGGATCCGTGTGTATGGCGTGCTTATTGAACCCATTTCTTTTCTTATTCTTTTTGAGTGCATAGTATAATATCTGGGGTTGTAGAGGCGTCCAATTAAGCTTATGCTTAGCCGAGGTTGGTTCAAGGTTCCAGGTCGGTCCCTGGGGGGCCCGGTGAGCCGCTGAATCACTTCTGAGATCAACCTCCATCTTGTTTACTACAATAGTTACATCTGTCTTTGAGACTGATACTTAACCAGATTTACAAACCCACCTTCGGACTGAATAAATAAATTATTCTATCCCATCATGGATTCCAATGCACCCCCACCGTGTCCGTTCTGCAACATCGCCTCATCATACCCCCCAACCCCCTTCAATGACCCTGAGTCCAATCCAGCCTCTACAGCCCCCCCGGATTCAGGTCCATTATCTCACATCATCCTCTCCACTGAGCATGTTCTCGCCTTCTTGGACATTATGCCGCTTGCCCGCGGGCATGTCCTTGTAGCGCCAAGACATCATTACAAGTTGCTGGGAGACATGGGTGTTCAAGCAGGACAGGAGGTACGTAGTTATTCCCCATCGGTTTATCTATAACTGTTCAAAAAAAATTCTTCTTTTGCTGATCCTTGTCTTTGATTTGACGCATAGATGGGGAAATGGCTGCCTATTATCTCCAGGGTTGTAACGAAGACTGTGTTCGGCAATGATCCCGATAGACATTGGAATGTAGTACAGAACAATGGTATGTCTTCCCCTTGTTCTTCTCCGTTTCCCCCTTGGACGTTTGAAATTGGAGTATTTATGCGTTGTATGGTGTTACTTCGTATGGATGTATCAATAATTGGCATTCAAGGAGGTTGAACCCCCCCCCCCCCCCCCCCCTGACCGATATCTTATTTCATTTGTTATTGAACTAAACGGCATCAACGTCCATAACCCACCTTGTTATCACATGTTTATGGGAAAAGAACAATAATCGTCTAACTGAGTGACAGGTGAAAGAGCAGCACAGGTAGTACCCCACGTCCATTTCCACATCATTCCACGCCCTGCTCAAGGGGCCAATCAGAGAACAAGTTTTGCTATGTTCGGCCGCGGGCAGAGAGAGGAGCTTGACGATGATGAGGCTGAGGCCTTGGCTCGTGAATTGAGAATTGAGCTGGCTGAGGAAGTCAAACGAATTCAGAGGGACGAGGGTGTAGACTTGGCTGCAGACTTGGTTCCAGAAGGAAGCCAGCGAGGGAAGCTGTGAAATACACTCTATCTGGTATTCTCTTCTGTTCTTGCATCTGATCATTGGTCCCATCTTCGGGTTATCTGCTGTATATAGGGGTTTCTATTACGCAGTTTTGCAAGCCTCCAAGCTGAAGGTAGGCTGGATAGCTTCCTATCTGATTTGCTATGTCGGGGTTCTTATTCCGTCGTTTTTTGGTCCTTCCCGACCCTGGTGCCGTGGCCTCGGAGCATATGCTGAATTCAACAAGTTAGCCAAGTGCTAAGCCATCAACTCTCAAATAATACGTACCATTCGTCGGAATGCATTGAGATCATCCGCAGTAGTACCCTGGTCGTCAATCTTCTTCCGGGCCAGTGTAATATCCGACAATTGTCCCTCGGGTAGACGGCGGTAGGTTATAAGTCGGCGAGACCCTATAAGGAATAAAATCAGCCAATACCTTTCAATATCAAGGTTTTGTCATAAGCTTACAGGTGTTGAAATGCTGAACAGAGATGCTGACAATCTCGAGATTCTCATGCATGGGAACAGGGAACTCGGTTTTCTCGTCATTTGTTGTGGGCATCCACATTGACAAACGGCCATTGGGAACCAAGGAGCGAACGGCAAAGTTGAGAACGTCGTTCTGCAGAGCCTCGAAGCCATAAGGCTTTTTGGGAGGCACGAAACCAGGTCGGCTATAGGTCAAAGTCAGTATTGTAAGTTAAAAAAAGGGAAATGGAAGCCAAATAACATACAGGTAAGCAGGAACCCCATCAATGATCACATTGACCGCGGGTTTTCCCTTGCGATTTCCCAGAACCCGAAGTCCTTCACGCACACCGTATGGCGGATCGCAGACAATGCCATCAAGGACGGCAGTTCTCCGCAGTGGCGTGTTGGTAAGATCGGAAGTGAACGTATCAACAAATTTACTCTTGAGGCCATATTGGTCAAAATTCTCATATATGCCCAGTTTTCCGGTCTCTTTTCCACGGAAACTGCGGCCATCAATGTCTGCGCCCAGAGTCAGAGCCCCAAAATGCGAAGCAGCAACTATGAAACTTCCAGTTCCGACAAATGGATCAAAGAACAATTTTCCCGGTGCCGCAAGAGCCATATTCGCCGTAATGAGACTCAATTCCGCATCCATGGAAGTCGTGCTGATATAACGACGCTTCTTGAGGTCGTACTTGAGCACGTCCTCGCGACAGCTATCGGCAATCTTGCGACTGAGGTAAATCTTCCGCGGATCTTCCGTTCGCGACACACCCGTGACAGAGACTTCATAATCATCGATGTACTCTTCCATCACGAAAAACTCCTCATCGGGGTTTGTTAGCCGGATCGGGCCTTTGAACCCCATGTACGAGAATGATCGAATGATCTCTCCCTTCTTCACTTGACTGCGCGTTCCTGCGAAGTAGTCAATCGTGAATTTGAATGGGACGTCATTGTAGTCGTCCCAGCGATGCTGGGTTCGTCGATGAACATCTGCATGTAGCTCTTCATAATTGGTGCCTTCGCCCCATAGCTCAAAGATATCCTTGACCAAGATACTGCGCTTGGCAACTGCCCGCGCCGCAGCTTCATCCGGTAGTCTTACAACACAGTATGGTGACTGGATATGTCAGTCAAATCTCTGCAAATGGAGGATGATCATGCAAGGATAAATAGAGGGGTGTCATCATTGTGAATCAATGTTCATGGAATGATTTGGACGTTTCGAATATAGATAGAAAGGGTACATACATATTCATTGTAGGTGATAATTTCAATGTCAACGCCCGCGAGTGTGGCACAGGCTTCAATCTCCGGCCGTCGGAAGGTCTCATGGAGCTGGGCGAACCGAACCAGATAATCCATGGCGAGACAATTATATGCCTGGTTTTTTTCTTAAGGATATCTCTTTTGATAGTGGGAGTTCACGTAATTCGTTGCTGCTCTCAAGGCGGGGTGTTGCGGGTTGAGATTTTTTTTTTTTCTCGGGTCTTCAGAAATATATACGGAGACGGAGTATGGATTTATATCAGAAATTTTCTTCATTTTCCAAATACTAAATTTAGTTTGAATCCTGCTCTCTTGGAATACGATTAGAATGATTTGATCAAGGGCCGGAGAGTTGGATAAGATAGTTTTATTAGAATAGGACCTGTGGCCGAAGATGTGACCTCTTTTGACAGGAACGGCCTTTTGGAACTTTGGACGTCCCTTGACCGCCCACTCCCTATTGTGCAGCACTTTTAGTCATCCGGTGCTGATGTTGACGCTCACCTATAGTCTCGTTTCCACTTGCGACTAAAACAACCCCGAAAATGGCTCCCCCCCGGAAGGAAATTGCGTCGTGTCTTTTGTTATAGCACCTCTTGGAACATATTGACTGCGATTTTTGTAGATCGTGGAAAGAGTCGACCACCTTGATGGACTCTCGTTGATACTGCAACCTGCTGATTGTAAGGTCCTGTATCCTAGAGTGGTCGCGTAGATATGCAAAGACCTCTCGACAGATCCGCAGACCTTCGTTCTTATGCTCTCTTCCTCGAGGATTTGACATCTTGAGATCACTTGTCCACATAATAGCCTCAAGGGTCAAGTGCTTCAGGGTGTGTAGAGCGGTTTGTAGAAACCTCTGAAAGGATGGTACAGTGGTTATGATGTAGCTCAACGATAATACCGATAGACGACGGAATTTGAAATGTTTTGAGACCCAGTCGAAGTGTGTGTCTGCCAGGTCAAGGCCGCTTTGTTGCTTACAGAGCTCGTAAAGGTGTATACCGGCGGCACGCATAGTGATATCCAGACTCTCTATACTCGGGACTGCCTTAGCAAGGAGCGGTAGCAGCCTGTTTTTATCGATTCCGGGGCGATTGTTCATTTTCTCCCAGATCACTGATTCCTGTAGCAGGAACGCCGCCTTTTCTTCATCTTCGCCTGAATGCTGCCGCTCACTCTGTTGGGTATGGGCCGACAAAATGCGAACAGATAGGCGCTGTAGTTGTTCAATGATTGGGGTTAAGACGTCTTCAACTAGTGGTGTGAGGGATACTCCATCTACCATAATCCCACCAGAAGTCTCGAGCGCTGCGATCCGAGTGTGGGTTGTGCCGAGGGCGGCCAATGGTGTAGAGAAAATATGGGATTAAAACAAACTCCCTCGGAAGGAACCTCTACGAGCACACTCAAATATAGCCCCCGGTGGGGAGCCAGGGAAGACTGGATTGAACCCAAGTTATCTTCGCAAGCTACTTATTTCTCTTATCATCTTCGGGTATCTCCTAGTTGTATCGTCATTCGGATGACCGTTGAAATTTCTCAGTCCTGCCGTGGGGAGATTCGAAAAAGCAGGCAGATAGCTCTCTAGTGCATCTTGAGGCGTGTCTTTCCGGTGCTCATACAGTTGGGGGATGATAAAAGAACTCGGAAGTGGTCGACTACTGCATCCTTGTAGATCACATAGCGATCTTCTAATGGTAACTTTAAATGCGAAGCAAGTCGCATTTCGATTGTCGTCCGTTGGCGCAAGACAATGCCATGGGGCAGATTCTCGGGTAAGGGACCGCTGAATTGACGTAGATGTTGTTCATTGCGCTTCTGCAACCCAACCAGTCGCTTGATATCGTCAAGTGTCCATGTGTAGCCCGCACAGAAGAGGCTGGGGACAATCCACAATCTCTAGCGTTAAGAATCAGTTCATATTCGAAGTATTGCATGTAGTGCACCTACCTTGACATGTGTCTCGAAAATCCCGTGGCCAGCCACGTACTTCAGTGCACGTAGGCCATCGCTGGTGAGTGCAAGATAGAAGTCATGGAAAACCCGATCGGCGAAATAGTCGTAGGTCCCAAGTGTTATCGCACTGCAACTTAGTCGCAATGCACAAACATGCTTGATCTTCAGTCTTCGACATATTTGATTCCATAACTCTGGCGGTAGAGAATTGATAGCATTTCTCATTATGTCAAGCCTCTGGTGTTGATGAAGACAAAGCCCTCACCAAAAAACAGGAACAGCACTAAGAAGTTCGAAAGGAGGAATCTAAACGGAGGTGAGAGACTGCCATTAACTAGCACTTTGAATACCCCTGGTCTTCCACCTCTTCTCTTTGGTCACCTCTCTCGTACACACAGCATAATTTCCCCTGCGTCTGCTTTTCAAACTATTCCTTCTTACATTTCATTCTTAGGATGAGTATTCAACACTAGTTCCCTGATGTGCATTAGGTCTGGAGAGGAGACATCTCCTTCGTCTATGAGGTCCATCCTCGCATCGTGGTCAAGGTCCCAAAATTCTGAAGTATGATTGTTACGAAAGGAATGGATGAACGACCTTTCTCAAGCCGTCGCTTTCCTCGAATCGCCCAACCTTGCCCATGGCGACCTACGACCCGGAAATATTTTGCTTTATCGCGATCAATTGAAATTGTCTGATCTCGATTGCACAGCGGTAATCGGGATGGACTTCGAAGATTACATGGCCCCGTATGGACGAATACTCAATAGTAACGAGCCGAACTAAGGACGACGTGGATCTTCCGGCTTCCTAGGTCCTCGAACAGAGTAATTCGCCCTCGGTTCCTTATATTATCCAATAAACTACGGCTTTGAGGTTTATGGAGATCGATGTCTTAACGAGGATCCTACGAAGCATGGACCCAAAGTTGTGGACTTACTGCAGAACATGAAATTTCCGGAGCTAGATGGCGACTCACTAATTGACGGTATTATAGACAAATGCTGGCACAATAGGTATACCACGATTGCGGAGTTAGCTGTCTACACAGAGAGGCTCCTCCCTAGAAGAACCAATGGGAAGGAGAGCGACGCCGAAATAACCTCTATCCCCCTATGGCGCATGGCTATAGGCCGCGTGATTTGTGGATTATGGAGTAGTTTGAGATACTGGTGTGCGTTATTGCTCTATCGCAACGGCGAGGTAACTGACCCCGAAGCAGTCAAGAGCAGAGAACCGAATGACCACAGCTGTGATATGGATCGAAAAACAGAGGATTTCTCTTCGAAAAAGGCATACTGGCCTGGAGAAGCGTGGACTTCTTCATATGCTTTCACCAGGAGAGACTGAGGAACCTGGATTCACTTTTTAATGGTACAGGCACAGTTGTTGTGGGTGATTGAACAGACATTGGTGGACAGACTAGGCAATGAGGATTAATAAGAGATAGTTCAAGTCTTCTGGGAAATCTACCAATTACACCTACCAGCTAGGAGGATGATTCATTTAAGGATGACTATCCGTGCTCTATGGCTCGGTCTGATGTTGATCTAGGAGCGTGGCTACGCTGCTCGGTTGCTGCAACAGAACTTATAGATGTGAGAGGCTTAGATTCCTCTCTAGAGAAACGGCAAAAAATAACCCGATGTAGTAATTCACAGGTCCGCTGTTTACAGCATCAAGAGGAGATTTGAACAAGATTTGCAGAATGAATGATTGAACTACAAGTCGATGAAACCCAGATCTATCCAGGTGTGATATGATCGCAAAAAAAAAAAAAAAAAAAGACCAAGTCTACCTAATATCATCACATCCAGCTATGAACAGAAACCCGAAGATACGCCCTCCCTTAAGACAACAGAAGCAAGACATGCCGAAAACTCCGCCACTATGCACCGACTACCTTGAAAACATGTCGTGATTCATATCCCTCCACCGGGGTAATATCCACTTTCTCATCAGCTGGTATCAGATGATGTTGTAGATCCCAACCGGCCCGACGAGAAAGTTCTGATACTACCACGTCACAGTCACCTAAGAGATCAATATCGAACTCGGTATGTGTCACCGGCTGCATGCTATGGTCAGTATGGTACAGTGTCAATAATTTTTAGTATGACTTACAGTGCGTGATATGTAGATCTGCGGGACATGGCGAGGCAGGATTCCTGGTACTTCAGCCACGGGGGCTACCTTCAACGAGGTTCCGATCACAATGACTAGGTCTGCTAATTCCCGATCTTGATGGATTAGACGTTCACCAAACTCATCGGGCAGATCTTCACCAAAGAATGTGATATCAGGCTGTACTATCTGTAAGCATGGAAGAAAGCAAGTAAGGCGCCGAGCAATCACTGACCTTCATCACTCCAGGAGTCGGGATTTCATAGTCATCCTCATCCGAACTGTCGTCGGAGACCTTGCGGTCTTTCTGCTGACCATTGGAACTTCGTTTGCGCTTAAGACCTTGCGGCTTTAGTTCTTCTTCTGCGATTCTCTCCTTGCAGACGGTGCAGTGGGGGATGTTCCCCGCTCTGATTTCATCGAAGATCGCGTCGCCAGGGACATGGAACCCACACTTCACGCAGGTGGCCGTCGCGAAAGATCCATGGCATTGTACAATTTTTTCTGGGAGTACCCCTGCATTCGATTCAATGTTATCGATATTTTGCGTGTAGTTGGTCAACAGCTTCCCCTTGTCTTGTAGAAGTCGTATGAACCCATGGGTGGGCGACCATTTCTTTTCCGTCGGGAGAATATCCTTGGCAATCGAAAAGAAAACGCTCGGGTCCTCCCTAAAGATATGGATATCAAAGACTTCTTGTGGATCGCTCAGACCCAGATGTGCCAGTTTTGAGTAGAGCCCGGTATCTTTAGAACGGAAGTCAGGGATGCCCAGGCTGGTCGAGATCTGACAAAAAATACCGGTTAGCACTTATGGATTAAAAATCTTTTGGATACACTTTAATATGAACATACACCTGCACCTGTTAGAACGATGATGTTCCGAGACTCGCGAAGGAGCCGAACAGCATCGTCGATGGAGTTGTACTGGGGAAGCTTGGGCCTCCGGGAGAATTCGCGCGAGATCGCGACAGCTAGAAGAGAATGATAGGACTCATCTGGTGCACCATCGAGGAACGCCGGGGGCGCGATTCCAAACGCCGTGCACAGCTTTTTGGCCGTGACGGTTTCGCGAAGGATGGTCTCCTCCACGAACGCCGCCTTGCCAATCGCATGTAGACGTTTTCGATATGCAGTCGCCTCTTCTATAGTACAGGCACCGGGAACTGTGATGGAAAAGCGAGCGTATTAGCCAATGTTCGTTCTGATCTCCGAGAGCGGGGGTGTCCGGGGTAAGAGGTGAGGGTGGATATAGTTACATACCGAGACCGTCGCGGATCTGGTCATCGCGTAGGAACTGGATCGCCTCATCGCAGTTAGATAGATTATCCCATCCTTCGGAATCATCACTGTCCGTCTCCAAATCCGAAGAAATCTCAAGTGCGAGGTCCGGCGCGTCGTCGTCCATGGGGTACTGCTCCATATCTACGGCCTCTACTTCGACCACGGTGGTCTTCAGCGAAGCCTCTCCTTTTGGGGCTGGTACCAAATCCATTTTGCAGGAGTTTGAGATGCCAGCCACGGAGACAGACTCTTTCACTCGCGCTTGAAATCTGCTTTGGCAAAAATTCGGGCATCTGCCTCACCGGAGGCAACTTAATCCGGAACCGATGAATGAATTGCAGTGGCGATATCAAAGAAGTTTTGGTTTGTAGGTACAGGGGGTCGACAATGAAAAAGAGAGACAAATAGTTGGGCGGGAAAAAGAAAGAAACTACTTCTAGAGGTATCAAATCAAACAAATCAATGAACATGTACATCATCTCATGTGGTCGTCACTTTTGGTATCTATGAATCTGCCATCTCATCGTCGGAGTCGACTTCGATCTCAACATCTGAATCCTCGCCTTCTCCCTCTCCTTCAGCTTCACTCTCATCATCATCACCAATTTCTTTGCTAATTTCCTGTACAAGCTCCAATGCATGATCACGGAGTCGGTCATCCTCGTACTGAAGGACATCGTAGAGCTTCAAGCCTTGCTTGAGCCATTCACGACTAGCGTCTAGTGATGCGTGTCGTGGGGACTCGGCAAGCTCCTCAGGGGTCGCATCCTTAGGTGCTTGTTGCTTTTCTGCCAGCAGGAAGAGGCACCAGCCTCCAAGGTACCAAGCCTCTACACTTTGATCATCCTCTAGAATCAAGCGCTCGAGGACTTCCAGAGCCTCGAACTCCATATTCACTTCCATCAGGAGTCGCGCAAGACTGATGCGCACCGCAAAATCGGGGATTTTGAGATCTTCTGGGGCCAGGTCCTTCCAGAAGCTTATACTGCGAGTGAGCGCGGCTTGCGCATCTTCGGTGCGCAGTTGTGAAATCCGGATGGAGGCGAGGGTCTGTAGTACCTCCGGGGCTTCGGGTGTGACAAGGAGGGCTTCCGTAATAAGTGCTTCACACCGAGCTTCGGCATCCTCTTCCCAGCTGAGCGAGTATATTAGCATTGGCCCACATAAAATTTAGAAAGTAGAGGAACTCACGAAAGATCGGTCATATAGGTTTCAGCGACGGCACAGAGTGCGTTAGACAGCTTGGCCTTCTTCTGTTCAAGATCGGCGATCTGCTCGGGTGATGTTTTCCCCTCAAGAGACTGAATAGTCTGTCTGAGGGACGCCACACCCATCTCGAACCACAGGACGCTGTCCTTTCCACCTTGTTCACTTAATTGCGCAAGCCAAAGGAACTTCTCAGCTCCTCCGCCCTGGGATTCCGGAATCGAGCCATTTTGGTCGAGTTGAACAGCTTGAAGGAAGCAGTTTCTGGCGGTGTCAATGTCGCCTAGTTCAACATTGATTTCTCCAAGCAGATTAATGGCGGGGAGCTGTGCAGTGGTGTTTTCAGCTGTCAGATCCAGAGCCTGCTGTGCAACATCAAGTGCCTCATCGGCTCGACCAGTTTGTAGGAGGATTGTGGCTTGGTCGAGTAATTTGGAGGGATCTTGAGCCATGTTGCCTTTCGAGATTGAGCCACCAGGGCCAAGGACGGACTTTTCGCGGGGTTTGGATGACTTCTTCTTTTGCGGTCTAGGCTTTCCCATGGCAGGATACTGCAATGTTTAATAAGAAATCGTAATGTCGTCGACTGGGATATGAAGCAGAGTGAGTGACAATTGTGACTCGCAGGGTATCTGAAAGTAAAAAAAGTGAAGCTCCGCATCCAAAATTTTGGGCTGTTTGACTGGTTTGCATGTGGGACCGCAATATTGGCTGGCCATGTTGCTTTTAGTCTCCTCGAAGCGGGTCTTAGTTTAGATTCTGCCCGCAGTATACATCTTTGACTATAACATAAAGACTACATACGTACCTAAAAGACTGCCAAAAAGACTGCCGAAAAGACTGCCGAAAAGACTATACATGGTTGTAAGCGGCTGACTATTCACTATTCCAGAGCTCTTATTTTCTACACTTTACATGCTTTATGCTATAACTTTTAACCCGGACGACTTTTTCATCTACTATATAGTGTATTGCAATAGTTTGATATATAAAAATAGAGCAATCATCTAGTAAAATTCCACGGCAGTGTCCACAGGTGGAAATTGTATCTATAAGAGCTGCTAATTCATAATGAAAAGCTAGCGGTAAGCTAGGCGGTCAAAATTTACAATAGACTGCATTGGCGGGCCAGGATAACGGCGAATTGACATAGCCACGTGACTAGATTTGGCCCCGACATTTGTTGCGTTGATTTAGCTTGCGCTTCGGTCTTTCACCAGAGTTGGTTAATATTGCGATATATCAAAGTATTGCCGAGACAGTATTTCAATCTGCCCCGCTAAAACCACTCTCGTCTCTGCACGCGGTATCTCTCGAAGAATCTGCACTCCGGCGCTCAAATCGTTACCCCTCCAATCCGCGGGCGGATCAGCAGCTATGGGTCGCGAAGACCAGATTGAGGAGCGTGAAGTGCTCGATTCAATCTTCCCCGACGAAATTACCGGTAAGTAACAGGCAAGGCGTCTAGACGGCTCAAATTCCCTTTTCATCCTTGCTCACAGCGAGACCCGGCACCTAGACATATCTGAAACCTCGTACCGAGTATCCATAACCCTCGATGCCCTCGAATATGAAGGCGACGAAACGGAGCAACCCGTGATATGCCTGGAAGTCTCCTACCCTGAAGACTACCCCGATGTTGGCCCAAATCTCAGCATTTCCTCTCCACCCAATGCTTCGAAGCATGATCGGCTAGATATCCAGGAAGACAGGGACCTACTGATGGAGTCTCTTCAGCCCACCATCGAAGAGAACCTGGGTATGCCGATGGTATTCACACTGGTCAGCGCACTTAAGGAAAGCGCAGAGCAGCTTATGATCGAGCGAGCAGAGGCCATTCAAGCTGAGAAGGACCAAGTCGCTGCGAAGAGAGAGGAGGAGGAGAACCGGAAATTCCATGGTACAGCAGTCACTGTCAAGTCATTCTTGGAGTGGAGTGCCAAGTTTAAAAAGGAACAGGAGGAGGAGGAGCTTCGGGCACGCGAAGAAAAGGAATCAGAAGACAAGAAGAAAAAGACCACGAAAGAAGAGAAAAGACTCACAGGTCGACAATTGTGGGAGAAGGGCTTGGCCAAGGGTGATTATGACGAGGAAGAGGATGATGCCTTGCCGCCCATTGAAAAGCTCAAAGTGGCTGCATGAGCTGATACATAGAAATGTTAATGACCTGCCATTACTTCATGAAATTATGTATTATAACGTTGTTAAATCGGGGTGATTATACTGAGCTGTAAGTGAAGTTCAATGTTGTATCAATGGTATGCGGAGTAATATACAGACTTAAGCTATGGTACAGGGCAATATAATGATCAATCATTAGATGAAAAAGGACCCGAAAGAGGTTGTCTTGGTTTGAGCTGCTTGCTGGAGCACAGTGATCTCGACATGCCAGCAGTCCATGGTCCATGGTATCAATTAATCGTATATAATCAAGGGCGGACATAGCTGCCCAGATGGCGTGGATAATGTACCATGTCTGTTGAATGGTTCGAGCAATCGACTTTTGCGTTTTGATCTCAGGCGATATTGACAATGGCTTGGCTATGGACATGGGTGGCTTTAAGGTGGTCAGACGTGGCCCTAGGCTATGCCGGCCATATGAATTGACCAATGTCGGTCTGCCCGAAGAGCCAGACGATGTACTTTGGTATATCAACCATGCATGCGCGGAAAGGTAGACCGTGACCGCTCGGTTTCATTGCTTTGGCTGCTTTTGGCTAGCTTCTTCTTCCGCCAAAGCCTTTTCAGCTAGAACAATCTTCCACATGTTATCTGCAAGTTCTTTGGACTGCATATCGAAGCGTCCAATTCTCGCATTGACATCGGCTATAGCATTTGCAGGATGCTCAGACCAAGTGGATGGCTCCTTGGTTTTGGTGATGCGATCCCACTCCTCTTCGTCCTTGGCGAAAAGTAATTCTATTTTTAGCCTGTCTCGACGCTCAATCCAGTTCCACCGACGCCCAAGCTTTTTTCGTATCACACTGCTAACGTTTCTCGGCTGCGGCTTCTTATATCGTAAGAACGGAAGCCCGCGTGCATTGACAAGTACAGGGACATTGCGCTTCTTGTCACCCAACGGCCGTGGTCGGTCTAGAATCGATGTGGCGTTCGGATGTCGCTGGGATGTTTCCTCCTGGAAGCGAATTGACTTCTCCTTCCGGGCTTTCTTGGGCGTAAGAGGGTTGACAGGCGGTGTTACTGGCCGGATTTTCCTTTGCATCGCAGCATATTTATCTTTCTGTGACCTGGCTTGGGCTATGAGAGTTGTAACACGGTGCGCATCTTGCTGATTGGTATGAGACAAAGAGAGGAGATTTAGAGCCTGTCATACAGCGATGAAATATCAACACATAAGCTCAGCTTACACGAAGATTCGACGCGCATACCTCGTAGCCTGCCTTCAAGGCATTTGCTGATTGTGATGGGCTTTGTAATTTCTTGTATTTTCGGAAATTCTGTCGGATGAGAGGTTTGCTCTCACTCAGCCATGGGGTGTCTGCAGTTGAAGGACGGCATTGTCGGAGAAGTGCTCGATAAAGTGCCAAGCCTATCAGAGACAGATTGTTAGCTTGAAGGGCTGGAAAGATGAGGATTCATCTCTTACAAGCAAAGCGATGAGCTCCAGAATACTTGGGCACTAGGATTTTATGCATGCTGCCGTGTTGAATGGTTATCTCAAAAATGAAGCGCCAAATAATCACATATCTTATCTCGTTTCTACCTGCAGGTGGTTCACCGCCCGCCTACCGCCTACTGTAAATGAACTGGTGTAATCCGTTATATAAGCGTGGTCGGTGTCCCAATCTGGCTAGTGCATATTGCATGTGCGTTCTGTATTTGCCAAATCACGTGATCCACACACACCTATATATACCCACCCGCGCCCCCGGAACTTCCTCTTCTTTTCTTTCTTCTTCAGCTCTCTTTGCCTATTGGCTTAGATCAAGTGTAGTATCTGTTCTTTTCAGTTTAATCTCTGAAAGTTTCCGTCCAGGAAACACTTTGATTATTCCTATTTTTGGACCCCGTGACTTGGCCCCTGTGCTTGCGCATGCCTCGTTGCACAGTGTCATTGGGCTTACACTACCCCCGATCGACGCGAACCCCTTTTTCATCAACTGTTCGGCTTGCCCGGGCGCTTGGAGACGAAGCTTTCGAAGTATATTCAAAGACGTGTCTTGTACAGTATGTCCCAAAACTGGTGCGATCACCCAGACTCTTCGAATAATTTTCTGGCCCCACTGTCAGGACACGCTAGTACAAATTAGGTATATAACCGGAATATCAATATTCCTGCTCTAGTCTCAATACCATGACTTGCACCAAAATACGATGTTTTGTCTAGCAATTGTATTGGCGTTCTAAGGAAACTATCTGTCTGGCGCGATGTGTATCGTGTCATGCGATGTCCCGGGCCTCCATGTCGCCACGAAGGACAATATTGCTGGAAAGGTCCGGGTGGACGAAGGTACCATAGATTGAAGGCACACCATCTGAAGGCCCTCATGAAATACGTAGAGTAAGGTGGAATTCTTAAGACCCCCGATGACGTTCCTGACAGTGTCCGCGATGTGATTTGTGAGCCATGCGCAAAACTAGTTGATCTAAGCACGTGCCCTTTTTGTAGACGGACATTTTCGGGGTATATCAAATGCTATCCATTTGCAGGATAGATGTGTATGTATTTTCTAATTTGAGCTCGATGCACTTAGTGATTTAACTCAAAATCCTCTTCATCAGCTTAGGAATGATTATAATTTGTGAACACTATGAAGTCTGTAGTATATAACCAAAAGATAGCGTCGGGACCGTGTCAGTCGTGGACGCTCAGGCTATTTTCAGCTTTATCTTCGATATCAACACCGTCTAACAGCTCAAACTTATCACTCTACGTCTTAAAGTTAGTTCGAAATTGCCGGATTATTCCGATTTTCTTACAATTTCATGAGGTGGCTAGATAGAGTGGATACTCCGTGTTTGTCCATGAGTATGGCGTACCACTACTACATACCCGCGCACCAATCCCAATTTCCCAGCGATTTTGGAAAGAATCCCATTCTGAGGAAATAGAGATACTATAAGATAATTTAACTTAAAGAATTAAATATTATGACGGGAAAATGGGTATATTTAGGTCGTAGAAGACGGGTATGCTTATGCACCTTATCCACATTGCGCTTTTGCGCCTTATAACCATTACGCTAATTTCTTATATCCGGTTAACACCGCCAGAGTCGAAAATTATCAGTATACAATATGCGGAAGTTCCAAAACAGTGAATGTACATATGCCAAAGGACTCAGGTTTGGCATGAGCTACTGATTCCCCCATTACATGTTTCAGGCTCATCCACGCAGCCTAGCGTCGATCTCCCGTTTCTATCCGGCCCATGTAACCCCGGATCTTCCTTACGTGCATCCCAGCTCAACTTAATGGCCTCCTTGATAATTTAGGCAACCATGAATGTAAACTGGAGTTCTTAAATGGAGGCAAAAATGAGAAATGTGAATTGGACATGGAGCATTTTAGACTGTGTCGATTATGGTGATGCTTGTCATTTGACTGTTAGATACAACAAACGACCTAACACCAGTCAAATAACCAACAAACATAAAACAATACTACCAATCATAGTCTCCTGGTCCCATACGTGTCCACAGAGAAAGCTCAATTGGTCAATCCAGAATCAGGCTAAGACCTGTGGACCCCGGGGCCGTTTTAGCTGTCAACGTTGTATTGTCCTGTTTCCTCTGTGTCATCGTGCTGCTTCTAACTGTTCTTGCATTTCTCCATGCAATCCCAGTCACTCTATTACAATTGATCATATTAGCCGGAAATCCAAGCAATGAAAGTGAAATGAACTTACTCCGCCATCAAGCTTGCAGAGTTCGATGCAGTCATTAGACCGCGAAGAAAGCGCTGCTCCTGCATCGGCTTCAATGGGCGAGGCAAGCGCCAGACCAATAATGGCTGCAAGGGCTAGAATAGAGAAACGCATTTTGAAGGTGTTTGTGGGATATGTAGTTGGGTTTCTGGTGGGAATTAAAGTTTGAGGGATTGATAGAATGATTGTTTCCTAAGCTACATCAAAGGTGAATTGCCTACATTTTATAGTATTCCTTCGACTGAATACCATCTGATATCAGCTGTTCGATCCATCCTCCTTCGCTATTATGGGGCCCTGCCCCCACGACTCGTGCAGGCTTAGGTGCATGCTTTCCATCATTTAGGGATAACACCCACGAATGCTCACGAATGTTCACTCGTATTCCAAGAATTCCAAGTTCGATCTACACGGAGATTCTGCTGTTTAAGCAAAGACCTGCAAGTTAGGTGGCCTGATTCTTTTCAGCTTCAAGGCATTACAGTGTCAACTGATCTGATCCTGCAATGTAACCCAAAGGGCGAACCAGTCAGGCATAGCCTGGCATATTAGGCGCCCAATCCTAAGGATCTACAATTCCCATGAGGTAAATAATCAAAATAGAACCAACTCTATATAAAGCCCAATGTGCTCACGGGTGGAAACTCATCCCTCAGCAGTCTTCAACATTATCTATTCAGACCTCATAAACATGAAGCTGTTTGTCGTCCTGTTTACATTAGCTGCCTACGCAATGGCCGAAGCCGGTCCAAATCTCGAAGCGAGAGCTGGGTGCTCCCAGAAGGGACAATTCTGTAACGGCGGCACATTCCTGTGCTGTCCGGGACAAGGAAGGTGCAGCGGACAAGTAGTAAGTCGGCCCTACTTTTATTCTGGGAACAGCTATGGTCAGTGATGATAGCAAATGGCTAACATGAGATATAGTGCAAATAAGTCGTCTCCCTCTACTGAGGGAGTGCACATGTCACCTGAGTGCGACGGGATTCAACAAATAAGAGTGTTAGGGCTGTGTCTTTGGTCAAATATGGGTTACTCCAGGCAGTGTGTTTCTGCTTCTGAACGGCCATTAATGAAAATGTCCATCTGCAATAAGAGCCAACAGTTCAATAAAGTTTTATTGTATCTTGCTAGCCTAAGTCTTGACTCAATGAAACCAGCTCCATTTGGCAATTAGTCATCGTCCCAGGACTCAGCTCTCGACCCATTCCAAATGTGATATTAGCGTAGTCTAGATCCGATCCATAGTAGATTATAATAGTCGACCAGTCTCTGTCCTTAATGTTATTATCCAGTTAACTGCATAGCAATACCCGCGCCAGCCATATGGGAGCATTGCCACTTAAACGGCGTACACTATATCCCATGAGCAGCATGAGAAGCATTAAGACCTTCGATCCAAACGTGGATAATGGACAGATTAGGTTGGCTTGTACGGACGGATATGAACTCCTGGTCAGAGCACATTCCTTCAGGATATCGATCCATCAATTCAGTTAAGACAGCGCTAAGCTTAATTAGAGTAGAATGGAACAAGAGAGTGGAAAGGAACATGAGTTTTCTCGATTGCGGAAGCGTACTGTAATAACAGATAATGACATGATCTCCTATTGCATAGAAATATCTAAACAGACATTGAGTGGCGAACCAATGTGTTAATAGAAGTATCTAGAAAACACTTAAGAGTACTCAGTGTATTGAAGAATGATTTATTAGGATCAGATATCCCAGGCCCTCCTTTGACATAGAATTAAATTGTTCATCTTCAGTTTACTGGAAAATTTCATAATAGTGACCCGACCGCTTCTAAACCCAAGAGCAAGTTTTGCGTGTTGAATTGCATGACACGTAAATTCATGATAGTCAGCAGGAAGCCGTAATATATTCTCGCCTCCAAGAGCAATCCAATCATTAGATGAAGATATCTTGGCTAGAGGATTAAAACCAGGCCTTTGCAGGACTGAGATGGGGTCATCTGAATGTTGCGTCTGGCACGGCATTCCGGTGATCGCGTCCCAGAGCTTGACGGTGTGGTCCCACGAGCCGGACGCCAGCGTCTGCCCGTTAGGTAAGAAGGCTACCGCGTTCACGGAACTACTATGGCCCTCGAGCGTCTGCAGATTGCAGCTCCATAAATTTTCCACATTTGGTAATGTTGTGATATGCTTTGATGTTTCATCAAGAAAATTCGTCCTTATGATACTTTGCGCAGGTGCAAACGCCAGTCCGGAACAGTAAATTTGGAATGGAGCCATGCTAACAATTTGGCTGTTTTGCAGGAGAAATCGCTTTGCATCATAAACGAAATTTGAAAGCTCAGGACAGGTTCCTTTTTGTAATTTAAGTTAACTTCTACACCAATATTGAAATAACAAAATCCACCCTTGTTCTTGAGAATAATATATTCAGCACCTTCACCGCTTCTCATGTACTTCAGATACACTCTGGACGAGGAATATGGATGTCACCTGAAAAGAGGAGGATCCAGAAAATATGTTATACTCTTATGGGAAAATTGCACAGCACAATGTGGTGATAGCTCGGCCCCATCAGATGGGAACGTTAGAGGCTGCCCATTGTGCAACCGCAGTGAGCCAACAGTTCCCAAATGTCCGACTCGCTTTGATGGTCGGAATCGGCGCGGGGATCCCAGGCCTGCCTAAGCGAGGTATCCGCCTGGGAGATCTTGCAGTCAGCATTCCTCAAGATGGACATTCTGGTGTTATTCAATACGACTTTGTCAAGTATGAACAAGGAAGAGTGACCTTGAAAGGATGTCTGAATAAGCCTCCCCAAATCCTAACCATTGCGGATGGGAGGAGTTGGTGAAGAGGCACCCACTGAAAAGGGTTATACTGAGTATCACCAAGAATCAGGGGTTCGAACGTCCACATAAAGATGATATCCTCTTCGATGAAAGCTTCTTCCATGTCAACAAAGGGTCCGATTGCAGTGAGTGTGAGGCTGCCGGTAGCGATCATGTTATACCCCGTGAACCACGGCGCGATCACCAACCTGTTGTCCACCGAGGTCTCATTATATCGGGAAATGGAGTTGTGAAGAATCCTCAGGAGCAGCGCAGCTTAAAACGAGACCAAACCGACGCAATATGCTTTGAAATGGAGGCCGCAGGGATTATAGATGAAAATCCTTGTCTAATAGTGCGAGGCATTTGTGATTATGCCGACACGTCCGCATTCAGCATCTATCATTTCGAGATTTTTTAGTGAGTACGGAAAGCGACTTCTACATCAATGAGCGAGAAACGCATGCGCAAATAGCGTCACATTGTCTACGTCTTATGAATGATCGGCTCAAACATAACATCTGTGATCTAAGATATGACACGCAACGCGAGGAAATCGAGCCTCGGATCATTCGTCAATACCTCACCCCTGATGTACAATACGCCTGCCACTACTGAGTACATCATCTAGAGGAAAGCAACGGTCGTATATCAGACTCTCGAATACTTGCCTTCCTTAAAGAACGATTTCTTCATTGGCTGGAGGCACTGGCTTGGATTGGGTTGTTTCATTGCTCGAGATTCAGATATCGAACTTTTGCGCTTCTCGCCGGGGATGTAATTTTGTGATGATTAGGCTTAAACATTCAATATGAATTGCAGTTGGTTGTTAGTAGAAGAAGTTCTGAGTGGGGGGTAAGACCAGAGGCATCAAGCCAAATCGCATTCCATTGCTATTTTTACGCTACGGTGTAGAGTGGCAGGCCGCAAGGCCCTCATCTTTCTTCCTTTTTCATTTTCTGTTTTCTAAATCTTTCCCTGTTCTTATCTACTACAAATCAGTGCATTGAAGATACTTTCCTCACATGTACACAAAATATGTATTCTTCTTTCGATAGTACTATATTAATAACCTAATTTTCAGCTCCTGGTGTCATTAGTACAGTAATTGGTACAATGATATATATTAACGTGCCGAGGATTCTATGCGGAAATACGACCATGGCCTAAGTGAATGATTCTACTCAGTATCTTGTCACTCGATAAAAAAAATCACTTGTTTTTGTTGCTATTGGTAAACAGGCGCCTGCCGCAATGCCCAGTTCCACGAAACAAAACACTGTAGAGATGAATACCTAATGTTGGGATGAAATTGAAAGTTGGGGCTCGAAAGAGCCCCTGCCAATGCCTTCATGCAGAGACTGTACACGCTTTAGAGTCAAAGAAAAAGAGAAGAAGCTAGGAAATTTGAATGAAGCCGACCCTGATACTCCGAGATCCGCCTGCACTGAGTGGGTCACATATGTTGGACTAGAAAGTCGAGCCCTCCGGGGGCTGCGGCAGCTTCTTATGCTGGGGCAAGGCCATGTACCTGGATAAAGTGTCAACGCCAACCATCGATCTTGTACCATTCGTTCTGCTCACCTTCTCAGCTCAATTAGAACAGTCTCCATGGTGTTTTCTCGTTTCCACTGCGCAAGGGTTGGAAGCTTTGTCGGATCGACCTGTAGTATAATGACTCAGTAATGGCTTTATGTATTGGTACCCACTCTCATACCTTGCCAGAGCTGGGATCAACACATGGAATGTTGACTCGAGAGACAAATTGAATGGTAGGCGGGTTATCGGGGTAGTCAGGTCCGCAGTGAATGTTCACACTGTATATCCGGTTCTCATGAACGCTCTGAAAGATGGCAGATTAGTGATAGTTTCATGATGGAGGGGAGTAGGGCTAGAACTAACGTGAGGAGGACCAAGGATGGTTCCGTTCCAGTTGCTCATCATCATATCTTCTCCATCAGCAAGTCCGTATGAGCAGGCGTCTAAAAATAAGAAAGATACGTCAGTGATCCAAGGCGGGACAATGTCGGAGATCGTGGGAGTCAATCGTACCTGCACTCAGACCCTTCTCGCCCTTCTCGAGCTCCTCCAGGAGGCGAAAGTTTCTTGGGACCTTAGCAGCCATGTTGAGCACCGAGTAGTAGGTTCAGAGGCTGGAAATGTCACGATAAGTGTGAATAGTTGCTAAAGAGGGATGTTGCGACAAGAGGGGCAATGCGCTAGGCGGTCAAGTTGGAACAGGGTCACGTGCGATATGGCTTATCGATAGCTTGGGACCAGTTGGAGATGCCACGCCTTGTTGATCCCATCGTGGAATCATTGTAATAGGAAAATCGCGGCCATTGTTCCCTTGCTGCTCACATGAACTTGACCTGGAAGCTCCTGATCTACAACTAGTCCGGCGTGGAAATACCGATCTATTTATCTGCGATCGAGAGCTCCCTGTACTGTTGACATCGGGACCTCGGGCATTAGTCGGTGCTGGCCATGCTCTGATACAACAAATCTATATCAGAAATGTCCTCCCAATTCTTGCAGACGGAGATCGCCAATTTGATTCATGAGTCTCGAAGGAAAAACTCCGATTTGCGAAATGTTGGTTATTACCCTCTATGCATCGTCGGCCATGGCACACTAACGAGGAATCGACAGGCCGCTGAACAATCGTTAAATGAGCTCAAAGCACTGCCCTCAACTTCAGAAGCTCAAATAGCAGCAGGTACGTTCTTAAACGGCCACCTTTTGTCATTTCCCAACCGCTAAATCGCCATTAGACCTTGTTCGCAAGCCAAACTTTGTTGAGCCATTCATTATTGCATGCCATACTCGGCATACGAAGCTTGCTGGTATTGGTGTGATCTGCTTACAGAGACTCATTGCGTCTCGATCATTACCCTCGACTCGTTTGAAAGATGTCCTGGGAGGCCTGAAGGAGACAACGAGCTTGAGTAAGTGTCCAACCAAATTGACACATTCAAACTGCGCTAACGCTTCCTAGGTCTTGACATTCAGCTCAAAATTCTACAGTCTCTGCCTTCGCTTTTGCAGTTTTATTCCAATGAACTGAGCGGGGAGCTTCTTGCGAATACGTTGGAAATATGCGCCACGTTACAGGCAAGCAAAACGATTGCAGTTTCTAGTACCGCCGCGGCTACCCTCCAGCAGCTGGTGGTATCGACATTTGAAAGAGTTTCGAGCGAAGACAATCTGCCTAACGATGACAAAATTACCACAACCATCAAAGTTGATGGTCAGTCGCTTGTCATCAGCTACTTCGCCTATGATGCACTGCGAGTATTGGATGATCTCTGTCGTCTGATCGATGGTGAGCCACTGCAGTTTCTACGAACACGAACCCTATCCCCGACTTTTGTGCTCGAACTTATCGAGAGTATTCTCCTGAACAGCGGCCGCCTTTTTGTGGGACATCCCGAGCTTTCGCAAGTGCTGCGCGTTCGGTTGTTACCACTAGCCGTCCGTTGTCTGTCTGAGAGGTATTCATTCGCTCAAACCGTTCGAGTGGCTCGAATTCTTCTCATTCTTCTGAAGCGTCACATGTCTCTTTTGACTACAGAATGCGAGATGGCATTGAGTCTGATAACCCATCTCGTTGAGCCGGATGGGACAGCACCTTGGAAACGACTGCTCTGCATGGAAGTCTTCCGAGGGCTATACTCCGAGCCGGGTGCTGTGCGGCTAATTTATAGTCTGTATGATGGCGGGGAAGGCAGAAAAAACATCCTCCGTGACCATATGGCTGCACTAGTTAGGCTAGCTTCAGAGAAGCCTTCGTTGATTGGCGTCAGCAATCAATCAACAGTACCTTCACGCGCGGAACACTCAAGATCTACCACAGAGGATCAAATAACTCTTGAGACTGGTGGCGTTGCTGGTGTCATTGGGTCAACTGTTCCTCCAAGCGAAACCAAGGTGCCTGGAATCAGCACTCAGTGGAGTGTTGTTCGTACGCCATATATCGATCTCCTCGACAAGACAGATCCACCCACACCACCAGACACTTACATCTACAGCCTTGTTCTTAATTGTATCAGTAGCTTTGCTGAAGGGCTCGCGAAATTCATTCTTCCATTGACGGTCCCGGATCTAAAGCAAAGACGCAAGAATCGACTTATGAGCCCCGTTCAAGGACCTGACTCCGCTAGATCTTCTCAGGATTTCACAGCAGAACCCACCCGAGTGCAGTCTAGCTCGCCATCGAAAAAATCTCATGTTCCCATAAATCCTCTGGACTTGCATTCTCATATACAGTACTCCGCTATCAAGACCTGTGCGGGGATAATAGAGAACTGTTGGCCTGCTGTCCTAGCGGCTTGTTCCACTTTTTTGCGTGCATCCTTGGATGACGAGTATTATCACAATCTCGTTCGAGCTTTCCAAAAGTTAGCTCATGTGGCAGGTCTTCTGAGATTGGCTGTTCCCCGAGATGCTTTCTTAACAACTCTTGGAAAGGCCGCCACGCCTGCGAGTGCGGGTAGCGCCAAGTCACACAATGCGTCTGCCACTGGCCCCCAGCAAAGTGACACACTCCAAAAGAAACGGAGAAGTGCGGATTTGTCAAATTCCAGTTCTTTGGCAATGGAGGCTGCAGCAGCAACTGCAGGGGAAGGGCCTCCCGTGTCTTTAAGCACCAGGAATCTACTTTGTATGCGGGCTTTGCTCAACCTCGGAATTGCTTTGGGGCCGACATTGGATCAGCCGGCCTGGTCCATTATTTTTGAAACACTTCAATACACTGGACTGGTGATTGGCATGTCCTCAAGCGCGATGGTCAAATCGGCTAGTGGGACTGGGGAGACTTCATTCACCCCAGGAAACGACGTTCCGACAGCCAATCTTGGGACTGAGGTGATTGCGGTCCAGGCGGCTTCTAGCAAAATGCTAGAAAGCACTAGTGATTTCCCAAGTGCATCTTTTAAAGAAATATTATTCGCCTTGTTGAACCTTTCAACATTTACGGAGCAGCGTCGCAACCAAAGTGATGCCCAGGAAGTATCAGAAATGTCTCGAACGCCGCAATCATCCCAAGGAAGTGGACGCTTACACCAAAGTTCCCGGCGTGTATCGCATACGGTCGGAAAATCAAGAATGCAAGACGAGGAACTCAAATTTGTACTGGAAAGAGGAAACGAACTGGCCAAGGCAAACCTTGGGAGACTGTCTTCGCTCGAAGAAGAAGATAGCAAAGCATGGGAGCTGCTGACGCAAAGTCTCATCTCGGCATCCGCAAATACCACCGTCAGTCCGAATCTTCGCCTACAGGCAAACGCAATTTTGAATTCACTCGTATTCTCAACGATGAAACTAAGGGACGAAGACGATGAGAAAGATTACAATCAGTTACAGACGAGGAATTTGCAGACATTGAACGCCCAAATTGCCTCGCTCTATGCATCAGACATG